AATGCCCCAATGAAAAAGGAGGTTGAGCTCCACTGATCTCGCACTGCTTTAGCAGCAGTTACTGAGATGCCCTCACACCGCTCACACCATGGTGCGGTCGGCGTTCTTGGTCCAATAATGCCACATGCAACATCGCTTGGTTTTGCATAACTTGCGTGGCCCCTGACCCCGCAGGAGGCTGAAATTTCAGAGTTACAGCGGCCGCTGAGAAGCATGGACAGACTTATGACGCAAGTGAGTTCTCGCAGGTCATGCCAGCACACGGCAGCAGGGGAAGGAAAAAGCAAATGAACAATAACAATAAAGAACAGAAAGAAGAGAAGAGACAAGATAAGAACAAACGGAAAGAAACAAACACAAATAAAATAAACAACAACAAACACATAAAACAGCAAAGACGAAATATAGAAAAACAAGTAGGTAGGCCAGAAAGTAAAATACATAAATAAGAAGCAAGGAAGCAAGGAAGGAAGAACGGAAGAACGGAAGGAAGGAAGGAAGGAAGGAAGGAAGGAAGGAAGGAAGGAAGGAAGGAAGGAAGGAAGAAAGGAAGGAATTGCAGGGAGTTGCAGGGAATTGCAGGGAAGGAAAGGGAAGGGAAGGGAAGGGAAAGGAAGGGAAAGGAAGAGAAAGGAAGGGAAAGGAACGGAAAGGAAGGGAAAGGAAGGGAAAGGATGGAAAGCAATGGCAGGGAAAGGAAGGGAGCCAAAAAGTAGATGAAAAAAGAAATGCAGAGAGACAGAGAGAGAGAGAGAGAGAGAGAGAGCGAGAGAACGAGAGAGGGAGAGAGGCAGTGAGGGAGAGGGAGAGGGCGCTGTCGCAAGATGTTCCGAACTCACATGATCAATGGAAGTTGAGGCTCTTCACTTGCAGGGGTTGCATAGCCGCTCAATCGTTTGTGCCCTTTGTTCCCTTTAGGTTTCCTCTTTCCCGTGACGGCGAGCAATTCTCACTTGCTCTTCTTTCCCGTGCGTCTTTTTCGTCGTCTCTCGTCTCTCGTCTCTCTCGTCTCTCTCGTCTCTCTCGTCTCTCTCGTCTCTCTCGTCTCTCTCGTCTCTCTCGTCTCTCTCGTCTCTCTCGTCTCTCTCGTCTCTCTCGTCTCTCTCGTCTCTCTCGTCTCTCTCGTCTCTCTCGTCTCTCTCGTCTCTCTCGTCTCTCTCGTCTCTCTCGTCTCTCTCGTCTCTCTCGTCTCTCTCGTCTCTCTCGTCTCTCTCGTCTCTCTCGTCTCTCTCGTCTCTCTCGTCTCTCTCGTCTCTCTCGTCTCTCTCGTCTCTCTCGTCTCTCTCGTCTCTCTCGTCTCTCTCGTCTCTCTCGTCTCCAGTCTGGGGTAGACTTAGGATACATTTCACATAAATCAAAGTGAAGCAAACAATGAAATATACATTCCATATTCCATAATAATTATTCATATTCCAGAATATTCCATAACTGGGCCTAACTCTGCAGTGGTGTCCCCGAGGCCCTACCTGGGCTCCAGCCGCGCCTTGCGCCCCGCCCGGTGCAGCGCCTTCCTGGCGGAGCTCTTCGCGCAGCTCGCGGCGGCCGCCGGCCTGGAGCTCTGCGGCCGGGGGGCCCAAGCGCCCGCGGAGGATGTGGGGATGTGGGGATGTGGCTGGCTTTCACGTGTCTTTTTTTTTGCTTTCTCCAATGTTTTCCCTTGTTTGGTCTTTGAACTGTTCGCTGTGTTTGCGTTGTTTGTTTTTGCTGCTTTGCTTGCTTGTTCAGCTGTTTTTCCTTTTTTTGTTTGTGTAGGGGACGGGTGCGGCGCTTTTCGGGCCTTCTTCATCCAGTGTTGATTCAGACCTCCAGCCTTGTTCCTCTAGGGATGCGTTTGCTGAAGGAAGAGTGCGATTAAGCAGGTGAGCGACTGAGGCAACTTGTTTTGAGGGGCATGGTTTGGCATGGTTTGGATTCCTTCTCTGTTGGGCAGAATCCTAGCGGAAAAGCTCAATGCTCTGAGGCTGGGATCTCTACCATGGTGCCTTGCCGGCATTGGGACAGCGCATGAGGGCCTGTGCTCGAAGCATCGCTGCGGGCGCCAAGGTCACATGGTTCTTTTCTCCCATGCTGCGTGCAGCACAGATGCTGACCTTGGGATTCTCTTCCATGCCAAAGAGCACCCCGAGGAGTTTACCAGTAGGATCGGTCGTGTTCTGCCTGTTTGCTCGCCCGAAGCTGGTGGACTTAGTGACCCGCGGCGCGGCACCAAGCTGTCTATCGCCCAGCCCAGCTTTAGAGACCGGAATTTCTTGTGGTTGCTGTCGCTGAACACCACGTTTCGCGTTGACAGCTCCCACACCTCGCTCCTGGCTCCTGGTGCTGCTGGCTCGCGATTCTTCACAGTGGACGAGTCCCACTTCGGGCTTCAGCTGGGCACGGTCTGCTACCTGTCTCAGGACCCCGCCGAGCCCAAGGGCGAGAGGGACGTGCTGTGCATCCCTTGCCACGGCTTCCCTGCGGACTGGCACCTGGCGCAAGCGCTGCGGGCGCTGCGGGCGCTGCGACGGGAGGCCGAGGAGGCTGAGGAGGCTGAGGCCGAGGAGGTGGAAGTGGAGGCCGTGAGGCGGGCGCCGTTGGACTCGGAGCTGGTGGCGCTGCTGCAGAGGCCGACCGAAGGCAAGCGGCTCAGACGGCTGGGCAGCCCCAGGACCAGACGCCGCTTGCTGGTGCACGTGGAGCGGGAGCTACTTGGCTTTGATCAGGCGAGATACGGATGCCTTGCAGGGATGCTTTTTTGACTGCCGCATGTGCCCGTGTTTCAGGCTGGCCCGCAGAGATGAGCACCAGGCTGAAGGTTTGCAGCGGCGGAAGGATGCTGCAACGACGCAGCTGCTGAAAGATGGCTTCCAATTGAATGACATCGAGGCAAGGTAGACGTTTGTGGTAGTATATGAATGCCTTTAGTTGTGTGTGGGCACTACCCAGCACTGGAGATATTGGGATCAGAATCAGGCCGCTCAGGCAGCGCCCCCTGCTTTCCAGGTCACTCAAAAGGGCCTCTCTAAGCGAGGGCTTTAAACAGCAGAAATCAAGTCAAACATATGTTTTTTGGAGTTTTGAGGGTGAGAATTGGCAGAAGTTCTTGTTTTTGGATTTGGGCTACAAGGTGAGAGAATCTTTGTGTTCCCTTTCCATTTCCCTGTGCAAGTTGGTAAATTCTGTTGTGCCAGAGATTCCTTGGGCCGTGCGCCCGTAAATCAACATCGAACGTTGGCGGGCCCGGTGTATTAGCCCAGTAGTTGTTTTCGTTAATTTCCGGGCACTCATTGATAGCATGCGCCATGCTGAGCCTGCGGACAGGCAGCGATGCCTCTGTGCGACGGCAGTGCCATGAGATGCGAGGCCGTCCTTCGGGTGGCATTCGAAGCTCGGATTTGCCTTCAGTCTTTCACGTGTTCTTGGATTGGCGTGGCCAAGGGCCTACTGCTACGGAAGTCATTGCCATAACTAAGGCCAGATACCGCTCTGCCGCAGAGCAGCAGGCTGCGGGCGAGCTGGGCGACGTTGGGCTCGCAGAGGCTGGGGTTGCACATGACGAGCCGCGATTTAAAGGGCCAGGGACACTGCGTCTGTGCCCCGGGCTGACTTGGACAGGCCAACAGGGTACTTTTTGGCACCTCTCCTTGGCACCTTGGCTTACTCGTTCTTGCTCCGTTGCCTGCCCCGTTGCCTGACGGTTCACGATTGATGCTTTAGGCTCGGCGGCTGCCCGGCCCTGGCGCTGCGGGCACTTGCGGCCAAAGAGCCGCTGGAGGAAGCCGTGGCCCGCATCGCGGCGGAGGAGGAGGCGCGGGAAGCGGGGTTGCCTGGTGGTGACGCAGCGCGTGAGAGTCTGGCTCGGGAGAGTAAGTGGTGCGTATGGTATGTGTTGGTCAGGCCAAGTTCCAACAAGAGAGCAGTCGCCGCTTGGATGCTGCGCTTGGCAAGAAGCCGCGCAGCCAGGGAACGGTGGCTCAGCGGCAAGCAGTGAAGAGCGGTTTATTTTGGAAAGTCTTTGTGCCTGGCGGAGCTTTGCAGGGGGCATGTACGCCACCAGAAATGTCCCAGGTCACGCAGGGTTGCAGCAGGAAGAAGTTCCTCTTAGAGCTGTTGCTCGATTGCCTGCCCTGCTGGTCAACCTGCCGCTTGCTTGCACCCAGACAGAGGCTGCGAGCCAGCAGGCCCGGAAGCATGGCCTCACATGCCTGATGCAAGGCAGCGCCCTTCTCAGCCGCCAAAGCGCGCCCTAAGTGGAGCAGGATCGAAAAAGATGCGGTTTTGCGACGGACGTGCAAGAGGCATACGTGCCTGGCGTCAGCTTGTTCGCACAAGCCAGTACTGCTCTTGTATGCCTCTTGGTATTTGGCTGCTTGTTTCCGCTGTTGGTTTTCCCAGCATGGTGCAGCATGATAAGGAGGCGCGATCCCCATGCTTTGAGGCTGATTTTTGCCCACCGGTACGGCGGCGGCAGTGCCCGTGACGCGCTGCTGGCTTCTGCCAATGCCGGCGGTGAGAATGTTCATCGAAACGAGGCTGAGGGACAACGCAGTGGGATGGTCGTTGCGCACATTTCTTTCTGTGGTCTGAACGTTCTTTGTTTGGGACGGCCTCAGGTGCTCGGTTTGCTTCTTGGAGCTGAGCAGGGCAGAGGTGGTCTGAAGGGTATGGAGGAGTGGCGCTTGCACCTTGTCGCAACCCCGTGAGTCGCATCCAAACACGCAGGAGGGCTTGAAGAACTTTAAGGAGTTGGAAGCCGAGATCGCGGACTTCACGCAGGTGTTGAAGGACAGGAGGGCTGCCGCGTTGGCTTTGCGTTTGTCGTGACCTTTGTTCTTGCCCAGGACTCAGTCATCTCATCCCGTGAGCTGTGAGCGACAGCCTAGGTCATGGAAGAGGATGTCATGGAGTCATGACCGTTTCACTTCTGCCGGTGGCACGTGGCGCAAAAAGGGAACTGCGTCCGCGCGCCGGGCAGTGCGGCATCCGCATGGCCCAAGCTGCCCTCGCTCGGAAGTCTCCAGGTTTGCGGGCCATCATTCAGCAACTGACAGAGGCCGCATTTGCCAATCGCGTCTGCACTGCCAGCGGCTGCACCACCAAACCATGTCAGACATGCCCCGTGCCCCGGATTGCCAGGCGATCGCATCCGGGCGCGAGGCAGGTCTTGTCCCGGCTGTCCCTCAAGATGAGCAATGCTGGAAGCATTTAGTTGCCGAAGGGCTTGGACAGCAGTTCATCTGATCTGAATTCCAAGGCGATTCCATGCCAACTCGCCTTGTAGACCCGTTTGATGCGATTTGAGTTCAGTTTTCTGCTACATCCCACCTGCTGCAAATCTGAGGCAGGGTCAGTATGCACGGGGTGTGACCCAGCTGTGGAATGCCTTTGCTGGGCAAACGAATGCCTCACTTTGAGTTGTTCTAGTGGGAACACGGCGGCATGACGCAGTTACCCATCTCCCTACTAGCTGACGGTTGTGCTGTGGTACGGTTTTGATGGCGCTTCTTGCACGGCTTGTAGTTTTCTCCTTTTCTACCTCGTTTGGTTTTGCTCCCAAAGCCATGTCTCAGCTTTGGACTCCTGAATCCCTGTACCATGTCCTGTCACCAATTTGGGCGGACGCTTTTCCCGCTGTGCCCCCTTCCGCCCCTCACTCGGAGAGCTATTTGATGGGCCCTGACCCTTTCTCGAAGCATTTTGTATGACGGCATCTGAAATGGATGCTTTCCATCTATTTGCAGGTGAGCATAGAGATGGAGGTGGGCACGCTTCGCTCCTCACACCGGGTGGTCACCTTCAACTTTTTGGCGGCGCGGGCCTCAGCATCCAGATAGCGCGATAGCGCGAATGCTGCACATGTCCGCTTTGAGGGCATTCGCGCTTTGCACGGAAGCTCAGGAGTTCTTTGCCCAAGTGGGCTTGCAGGTGCCGCCAGAAGCGGCCTCCAAGTGCGCCTCAAAGACAGCGGCGAGCAGCAAATAATGATTGGCTGAATAGGCAAGACTACCAGCCGTCCAACACCTTCGCTCCTCCTTCCAAGGATGCTTTGCCATTCTCCCGGTGCCGTTCTTTTTGCGTGTGGTTTCACGTGTTTGCAGGGGGCAAGTGCTTGTGGTGCGGCTCAGGTCCCTCACCGTGGGCGCCGGCCAGTTCCTCGGCACGGTCAAAGCCACGGACCTTGGCGGCTTCCGTGACACGAGCGTCGGTGCTCCTGCTGGGGCCTCGGCCATGCACCAAATTGGAATCGGCATGTGACTATTGATCTATATTGATCTATATTGATCTATTGATTGAGGTGAGCTCGCTGGGAACCAGCGGCATCTCCAAAGAGGAGCTCGCACAGAGGGAGGTGGGGCACTCGCCAGTTCGGCTTCATGTGCACCATTAGCTAGGTTGGATGCCCTGCCCTGCTGTAGGCAAGAGACCGGCACTTGGCTGGGATAAGCGAAGAGGCAGAGCAGGTATTTCAGCAGTCACAGCCTCAGCTATTTGGACCTCCTCCGTACCTATGGGTTGCGGACAGGCTTGTGTTTCACCCATTCGTATTCTGGGTGGCTCAAGGAAAGCACATTTGCATTCAAGACTTTCGCAGCGCTCATGTCCAATTGGAAAAGGCGTTTTCGCGAACCTCCACTCCGAAGCCTGAGAATGCAGCATCTTGCCAGATCCTGCAAGCCCGAGTGTTCCGCGCCATGATGAGCCATAGCCAGCATGTCGAGGCAAGGGACGGTCTTTGCTAAACACCGCCCAGTGCCGCCCGCAAAAACAACAGAGTTCAACAAAGAGATCGTCAACAGTACAGTACATGGGGGGGATTCCTCAGTCTCACCTGAAACTTGGTGACTGGAGTGCCAACTTGAGGGAACAATCATGCCCAGTGAGCTTTGTGCATCACGCAAACCAATCGCACCCACTCACACTGGAACTCGAATCGGCGCGGACTCTAATTTTAAACTAGTTGTGTTTGCACTGGAACCGGTAGAGGAAAGGCAAGTTTGATTCGTATATGCAGGTGGCATTGGCTCGACTAGCCATTAGGAACGCAGTCTGGGGTGCCCGAGCCTTCTGACGCCATGGCCGGGTACATGATGCCAGGCTATGGGATGCAGCAGCAGTCCTATGGAATGCCGCAAGTGCAAATGACGCCTGAGCAGCAACAACAACAGCAGATGCAACAGTACCAGCAGCAGATGCAGCAGCAGCAGCAGTTGCAGCAGCAACAGTACCAGCAGTACCAGCAACAATACGGTCAGCAACCGCAGTACCAACAGTACGCGCAGCAGGCGCAACAGCAGCAACAGCAGCAGCAGCCGCAGCAGCAACAACCACAGCAACAACAGCAGCAAGCGGGCGGTGGCCAAGGCCCTTTAGCAGTGGCTGGTTGTGCAGATGCGACCGTGGGGAATATCGTCAGAGGCACTTTCAACTTACAGACGGAGAATCATGGCCGGCCCGTCTACAAGAAGAATGAGCCTGTGGCCAACAACCCCACGCTGGACGTGCTGATCTACTTCTGGGACGAGCGTGATGGCGCGAACTTCTGCGGGTGGTGGTTTGGGCCCAAGGTCGGGGGTGACCAGGTCTGGGCCTACAACAGCGAGAGGAGCGCGACGCCCCCGTCCACGGGCTGGCGTGTGCCCTACGACGGCGCGGTGGACCCCAGCTTCGTGATCAGCCCTGCGGGCCAGGGCTACGGCCAGGCGTATGGAGCGCAATATGGCCAGCAGGGCTATGGAGGGCAAGCCTATGCCCAGCAGCCGGGCTACCCCCAGCAGTACCAACAGCAGCAGATGCAGCAGCAGCAGATGCAGCAGCAGCAGTATCAGCAGCAACAGATGCAGCAGCAGCAGATGATGCAGCAGAAGCAGCGGGAGGAGGAGATGGCGCGACGGCGTCAGGAGGAGCAGCGCCGCGAGCAGCAGGGCGTCATGACCTGCCAGCAGATCTTGCAGAAGCTCCAGGCGGTGACGCCGGAGACCTACGACCACATCAAGGACGAGGTGGAGAAGATGGTGATGCAGAAGCTGCCGGAGTGTGGCACCCAGGCAGAGGCGATGAAGGCTGAGGCCATGCAGCAGTTCCAGGCAGGGGGTGAAAGAGCTCGAAGCCGAAAAGCCCTGTCACTTGATGGGCTGCTTGCATTGGGGTTAGTTCAACCTTCAAAGATAGTATAAGCACACAGCTGAGAAGGCAACGGTTTCTGTAGAGTTCGGTGAACAGCGAGGTGGCCCAGATGCGGGTGGAGCAGATCAAGCAGCAGCGCGCAGAGGAGGAGCGCCTGAACGCGGAGCGCAGCGAAGAGGCCAAGAAGCTGCTGGCGGAGCTCAGCACTTTGGTGGACAAAGCTGAGCAGGACACCGCGGAGCTAAAGACGGCGGCTGCCCCGGTGCTAGAGGCCAAGTCCATGTCGGAGGAGGAGGCGAAGACCGCAGGCGGGGGGGAGGGGGAGATGGTCTTGTGCCGGAGAGCCACTTGTAGTTAACCCTGCAGGCAAGGCAGTGAGCGAAGTGTCCGTGGCGGCGAAGGCATCCTGCAAGGCCTGCTCGGACTTCATCGTGGAGCGAAAGGTGGGCATCGACTGCGTGAAGCCTCCGCACCTGGCGGCGATCCGGGAGGAGCAACTGAAGCTGCAGGGCCGCATCCAGGAGTGCTACAAGGTGGTGGTGTCCGCCACCATCTCGGCCAAGGTGATGATCGACAAAGCGATCAGGAAGACCCAGGCGGAGAAGGTCTTCGAGAAGCGCGCCTCTGCCTTCGACAAGTACAACAGCCGCAAGGACCAAGTCTTCACGGCGGATGACATCGTCCTGTACGCCAAGGGCGAGTTTTCCTTCGTTTTGTCCAAGGAGAGCGCCGCGAACATCGTGAAGAAGTTCGGGGACGGGAAATCGGTGCCCCGCGCCCGGTTCCAGCGCATCAAGGTGGCCGTGGGCATCGCCCGGGAGGAGGACGCCTCGAGGCTCCGGCGCGAGGAGGCGGAGCGCAAGCGCCTGGCCTTGGAGGCCAAGAAGAAGGCCATCGAGGTGGGGCAATTCAGACTAGTTCGCCTCATCGGACGCCCAACCAAAAGAACTAAGAAGGATCCCGGCTTGGCCCCCAACCTGGAAGGGTTCTCTCAAGAAAGACACGCCCGTAGAGCATACTTGGAAAGGGGCAGAGCCTATTTTCTCAGATGATGAATATTGGCATGCAGAATCCATGAGCGACAGATACTGTTTGTTTGCCGTGCATTGAGGCAGACGTCCAGAAGGTCCTCGACACCCTTCAGGAGGTTGAGCCCACGATTGCCAAGGCAGAGGAGGCAGGAAAGGCGGAGCACCTCTCCAAGGAGTACTTGGCAGGAACTCCAGACAAGGAGGCAGTTGCAACTGCCCTGGCGGCTGCAGATAGCACGCTGAAAGATGCGCAGAGCGAGCTGTCAGACGTGCGATCCAGGCTGACTGACATGGTGAGTTCTGCAGACGAAGACGTGAAACAGTACGTCCAGATGGAGACCCGGAAGGTGGACCTGAAGGTGGGGAATGCCTCAGCTCCGTTTCGGATTTCAATCATCGAAGCCACGAGCCATTTTGTTGGCTGTTCATTCGGGGAATTTTCCTCCGAGCGCCCAGCCGGCCGCTTGTGGCAGGTGCAGTCCATGAACGCGCGGCTGCAAGGCACCTCTGTGGCGGCGGACCGGGGCCGCAGCTTTTTGCAGCGCCTGGAGGTTTTGGAGCTCCAGGTGCCGAAGCCGGAGAAACCGGGGAAGCAAATCCGGTCTCAGCACATATTCCTCAAGACCCAATTTGTTGCAATTTACCCTTGATGGGACACGTGTTGGGCAGTGGGCTCCCTCCCCGTTGTTTGGCGGGTTTGTGGCCCAGAGCAGAGTGGAATCAACACCAAACATGCGTTCCAATTCTTGTTGCGGAGCTTTCGGAACATGAGATGATGACCCTTGAACAAACCATGGGCTTGGGCGACACCCACATGGTGCCAAAGAAGGCGAAGCGCAAACGGACATGTTGCGTTTCTTGCCCTCACAATGAAAGGTGGCTGTTGAAAAGGGCGGAGCATGGCCACTTTCGGAAGGCAACGAAGCCACAAGTTTCGGCCACTCGAGGCGGCAAAGCTGGAGGTGGCCAAACTGCTGCGGTCCAAGAAGTTGGATGCCGAGGACGCTGGAAGGGGAGAATTCTTCCATGGCCCCGATCGGCCAACCACATGTTCCATTCACAGTGTGCAAATATAACTGCTGCACTTAGACGATTTCTATCGTAGGGGTTGACCCTCTAGCCAGGCAGTTGCCTTCTCATTGGGTCATGGTCGGGCGAGAGGTCCAAGTTGAGGCAGAAAGCCAGGGCACAACCATTTGAGGTAGTGTTCAACTCACGTTCTTGGTCAGTCTGGGTCAGGCATGTGGAGCCATGTAATTGCTTGCTGGCCAGAAGCACGTCAGATAAGTTTGGTAGGCATAGTGTCAAAAGCATTGGGTGGAAGGAGCTCTTCAAGGCGGCGGACAAGGATGCGGATGGCACGGTGAACTTGGCCGACTTCAACTCCTTCCTGGAGAGCTGCGAGAACTGCCAGGCACGGGATTCACGGTCCAGGTCGCCAGGTCGCCCTCGGTGCACCTTTGATGCCACTTTAGGTGCCCGAGGGAGAGGCCAAGTGCTGGGTTCCCTTGCGCTTTTGGCGATCCAGGTGAGCGGCGAGAAGATCGAGAAGGTTTTTAACCATCTTTCCGATGGGAACGGTCTCAGCAAGGAGTCGCTGTACCTGGCCTCGCGGACTTACTACTCGGTGGTGTCGGACATCGTGATCACGGACCAGCAGGGTCTGGAGGCGTTGTTCCCTTTGGGAGGTTTGATTTGGTTCGCGTTCCGGTCGACTCGCCAGAATCGGGGCGCATGTGCGATTTGAAGAAAACTCAAATCGGGGAGAAGCAACTTGCCCAACAGTCCCTTTAGGGCGAGACTCTGCGGCGGCTGGAGCTGAAGGAGCTGCTGGAGCTGCTGGAAGGCGGGCTGGGGTTTCCTGCAAGGGAAGGTCACAAGGCAGAAAGGTTACCCCAAGAAACCTAGGGCACCAAATCCCATCCTCTTTTCAAGTCCCGCTTGCAGTGCCCCAACGGATTCTGAGGGGCGGAATGTCCAAAAGTTCCATGGAAGGCCCGGTGGTGGTGGAGAGCGCGGGTTTGCAGCGGGTGAAGTGCCGCACCATCGACGGCACCGAGGGCTGGGTGACGTTGACCGGGAACAACGGCACCTCCTACCTGCAGGTCTCGGAGGGTGTGCTCCAGGCGAGTGGTGAAGTGGGATTGGAGCTAGAATCTTGAACCACTCGGCTTGCAAAGGCGAGTGCAAAAGGCGGCCGCATTGATGCCCCTTGCATGGCTTCGAAGACTTGCCACTTTTGCACACGTGAGGCGGCCGCCCAGATGCTGATCGTGCATGTTCGTGGTTGATCGGGCCAGCGTGTTGTGTGCAAATGCACCAGAACATCACGGCCCAACAACTGTTGGCAAAACATGTTGCTGCTTTTCACTGAGTGTTCCTGGCTTTGGCACAGGGCCTGGGCGGCGGAGCTTTGGTTTTAGGGCAGGCCTTGCAAAGCAGACATCACCTTGCGCCGGCAAAGAAGCGCGGCATGAGACGAGCCTGAAAGTACAGAGTGAACGGGCCAGCTCTGACCAAGGAAGGAGCTTTGGGAGCACCACATGAGGCGATGCATCGAGGAAGAGAAGAAGGATGGCGCTGCCACTGTCACGCCTTGACTTGCGCATTGCTTGTGGCACTGTGAGGATATTGACTGGAGACATTCAATGGAGAAAGACCACAAGCAGATGCTGAAGGCTGGCAGCGCAGAGTGGGCTTGAGAGCTTGGCTTCTTGCTTCACGTCGCAAGGGCCAGATCATCGAAGCACGAGAGCAGCGGGCAACATCCAAGCGGCTGCATGTGGAGCAGGCACCGGGGGGTTGGGGGGTGGACAAGGACGCCCATGCCCATGACGAACCCACAGCTACACAAACACAGGACACATGCAGCCATGCACGCGCACTAGCAGCAGGACACACAAGTGCAGCACAGGCACCGCAAGGATGGCAATGGCAGCACACGCATGACATCATCGGCAACAAGGCAACAATGGCAACAATGGCAACAATGGCAGCAATGGTAGCAACAGCAGCAACAGCAGCATCGGTGGCGGCAGCCGCGGCGGCGGCAACGGCAGCAGCAGCAGCAGCAGAAGGAGAAGGAACAACGACGACGGCAACATCAACAATGACAACTCCGGCACCACCACCACCTTACTTTTTCTCACGCCACAGCACCAGCATCAGCACCACCACCAGCACCAGCACCAGCACCGTCAGCATCGTCAGGATCACTATCATTGCTGTCATCATACGTACACAAACAACATCGTTTCTTTTTTGACTTGGCCTGCGGCATGCCAAGAAAGACCCATTGTGCCGTGCTAAGCCACGTGGCGTCACATCATGTAGCAGAATCCCATATCAAGCATGACATGCTACGTCATCTCGTCATGCCATCTTGTGTAGTGAGTTGTGAGTTATGCGGCGCATGGCATGATGTGCAATCTTCATATGCTAGCCCAAGTCACCCACATCACATGAATCTATGTGCGTTGCACGACCTCATGGCCAGTTCGCGCTCTCAATGCTTCCAGTGCATAGTACTCTGGAAATCGAAGTAAGCATCTTCAGAAGCCCGGCAGGCCTCAACGCACGACTTCCCGGATTTCACAAAGCCGACAGACATCTCTGCTGGCCACTTAGCGGGGCCCTGGGGATCATTTTGCTGGGCTTGCAATTGAAAGGTGCAGGACTACGTTGTGGAGCGCAAGATGCACCTGAAGGACGATCTAGACCAGCAGGTGCAGCCTAGTGTCACTTGCAGGGTGCTCGGGCATCCGAGCAATTGATTACATCGGATCAGGGCAAGTTTGGTGGTTGTGCCAGGTGAATCTAAAGAGGAGGCAAAAGGAGCAAAGGAAGGCTTTGGAGCACGTCGGCCTTCTAGTTTCCAGATACTTGTAGAACTGCGACTGAGCCAGAGAGTCAAAAGCCGAGGAATTGGACCGCATCAACAATCTGGCATGCCACAGGGACTTGGCCCAGTTCCCTCCTCGGGAACCCTTAAAGGGCCGCAAAGTTCCATACCCATCTGCCAAATCCCGAGGCAAAAGCTTCGAGAGCGCGACAAAGGCCGCCAGGCTTTGCAGGACATGGGGTTTAGCTTGTGGGGCTGGTCCAATAGCGTCACAATGTTCCATAGGAGTGCCTGCAGTCCTGGGAAGATACCAAGCGCCAAGTTCTCGGCACTGCGACCTTCGCGTTTTGCGGCTCTGGCATCCGAGGCATTCGGGAAGCGCAGAAGGCCATCCATGAGTTCAAGAAGAGACCCAGCGCGTCAATAGCCAAGAGAGGGTCCTCCGGGAAACCTGATTTCCACGAGCTTCAAGACAGTTGTTGCGAATTCCAGCTTGTAGCTCTGGATTGCAGTACGTCCTGGGCTCTTTTCAAGGTCCCGGTCCGGCCTGGTGGACATGCTGACCGGCCTGCGGACGTCTGAAGGCTCACTCAGCCGTGGCCCAATCCCGTGCAGCAGCCGCGGCTGACGGCAAGCCGCCAAGGTGCGCGAGAAAGGACTCCAATGAGTTCTCTCCAAGTCCAAGATGCACCGCCCGGGCCTGCAGACAAAATTATTGGCTCAGCTCGGTGGAGCCAAATGTGCGCCCAGGTTGACGGACAGAGCGAGGCATGTGCACCTCCCAGAAGTGCTCCGGCCTCAGCAAGCAGCAAGCAGTTGAAGAAGTCTTAAATCATGCATGTGTGTCTGTGTGTGTGTGTGTGCGCTTGCAAGGCCCGCAACGCCAAGTGACCTCTCCATGCTAGGAACTCGGCATTAGATTCGTCAGCGGAGAGGGCATTTGTTTGGCTCAGTCCGCTCTCCAGCCGTCCCACCACCGGCTCGGTGCGGCGTTTCCCCATCTCGGCAGCGGCAAATTTGGCTGGGGCGCTCGGACAAATTGTTGAAACGTGGCCTTTCAGCGTTGGATTTTGCTGCAAGGCTTGGGGCATGCACAGGAAGAGGTGAGCGTCTGGTAAACGTTCTGCTGGGCGAGCCAAGGCTTTGACAAAGCAGCGCTTGAAGGATCGAGGGATGATGTGATGGCATGAGAGCCAGAAGGAAAATTGTATAGACAAATCTCTTTTAACTCGATTTGGAGTAGATCCGTGCCCTCTCTGCAAGATAGATTTGGGGGTGGATCTGGGCTCGGTTCGGAAATTCAGCTAGCAGCAGGTTTAACTGACCCGTACTTATTTTGACATGCCCTTCTCTCTCCAGGAGGTTTCACCACGCTTAGTTGCCTTTGTGCCACGTCAGACCCTCCAGAGACAGGCGGTAAGATGGAGGCATGCGGAGATGCAGTTTGAACAAGTCTATCACTTGGAGCCTTGCTGGAGCTTGGCATGCTGACCGCTCTGAGGTTTCTGCCTCAAGCAAGTACGTGTCACAATCATGGCTTATGGAGCGGCGGTTTGCATAGCACAGCAATCGTTGCTGACATATGTGTGCGCCAAACTGGCATCAGCATGTCTGAACAATGGCCAAGCCATGATGCAACATTACTCGACACAAGGTGCACATCAGCTGCACGTATGAAGCCTCAGATGTCGACAGATGGTGTGTTGGGCACCATTGATGCTCAGCTTTGATGCCCGATGGTGAGCCCACAACCGCGGACAAAGCTAGATCTCCAGACAAACTGCCCATCTTCTGTGCTCAAAGCATGCGCCGGTATGGACACTTTACAAGACCTGGCCGCAGCAGCTGTGGCAAGCTGGGAGGCATGGCCTGGAACGCTGTGACTTGTCTCGTCCATTGATACCCTCCAGGTGGAAGATGACACGGGCTGGAGGCCGTGTGATGACGAGGCCGTCGTTGCATGTCCATTGCTTCCCTAACTCCTGGGCCCCAGCCAGGTCTTGCAGAGCCTACGCGTGGCTGGAGCCGGGCGCAAGCGACGCGTTACTTGCAACGTACGAGGGCGTAGCTGCGAACTGGACCTGGACGCAAAGACCGAGACAGATACAGCTACAGGCAAGCGAAGGCTCGCAATCTCTGGACGCATTGTCTGTGCAAATTGTGAGGAAAAGGCAGCTTGCCCCGTTTGTACGCCCGCAGGCGCTTCGCATTGCGGGCGCTTCTGAAGCAGAAACTAGAGTTGCCCTTGCAGCCTGCGGGTCAACTTCCAGTGACCTGCTTTGAGCCCTGCAGGCCTCACACCCTTCCAAGCTCCGAGTTTCTGTGCTCTTCCCGCACTCATTGAGATGCCACACCGTGTCTGGGATGTATAGATGCCACACCTACTGCGTGTGAAAATTAGCTGGCAGAGCTGAGGCCTCATTGGGCGAGATCCGCTTGTGCGTTGGCCCCTGCTCTGGCTGCCCGCCAGAGTCACAAAAAAAAACAAACAAGAAACTTTGGAGACATCGCCAACACTGGCCTTCTAGGCTGGTTGCTGCTGCAGAGCTTTTACCAGGAATTTACCGAACTTTCTTCGGTTAGGTATGGATGAGATGATACTTGGTTTTGTTTTTGGTTTGACCCCGGTCGTGTTGACCCAAAAGTGTACAACTTATCAGGTACTACAGGAAGTTGTTAAGGACAGCCCTGCTCAATGATAGCAGCGATTGCTCCCTTCCCCCTGTGCCTGCCCCATACATCTATATATATATATAGATATGTGTGTGTGCCGTATACTAATTTTGCTACCATTTGTTGGTTACGCTTTTTTAGGTATGGAAGTAGACCCTTAGAATCTTTCATAATCCTGGGGGGACTCATGTATCCAGGTACAGCCTCGGCAGCGGTTGCTGACGAGGGCACGAGGCAGCTGACCCCAGCCCATTTCTCCCAGATCGGCCCAGCTTCCCATGAAAGCGCATCCCCCCAGCTGTAGGCCACGAGGTGCAACCCGGCTAACATGCAACAACAAACACCTTCATGAAACTTTCACCGTTGGCAAATTTGGCATAGTTTTGGAGAGGCGAAGACAGGGAGCTCAGGACCTCGACGCTCACAGCATTTTTTGGACAGTTGCTTGGGAGGCCGCCGGATCTGACAACCGACGCGGCTGGAGCAGAACAGGCGGCAAGATTGTGTGCATGCTAGTTTCTGCGACGTGTCTTGATATTCTTGCCACTTTCAGCTGGAGTTGCTATCATTGTACCAGCCAACAGGAGAGTACAATGTACTGATAAACGAAGCCAATCAAAGACAGCAGTTTCTAGTTCAAGTTTCCGGCACCGCTGATTCTGTCTCCTGGCCGGAGTCAGTGCTTGCTGCTTTGCGGGTGCTGTCGTGGCGCGTCACAGCATGCAAGCAGCTTGACATCAGGCAAGGGTGAAGAAGACTTTGTCTGGCTATTTTACCAAGACCAGGGAGATCCACTGGCGGGCTGCTCTGGTGGGATACTCGGCGGGATCCGCCGGCGAGCGGGATACTCGGCGTCTGGCGGGATACTGGGTGGGGGCGTGGTGTAGAAGCATCGCAAACGCGGATTCCAACATAAAATCTAACAACCCCCGCCGAGTATCCCGCTGAGTATCCCAGAGTAGCTCGCCAGTGGATCCCGCCGAGTATCCCACCAGAGCAGCCCGCCAGTGGATCCCGCCGAGTATCCCGCTGAATATCCCAGAGTAGCTCGCCAGTGGATCCTGCCGAGTATCCCGCTCAGTATCCCTTGCCGGTGGATTCTGCCGAGTATCCAGCCAGTATCGAGCCGGAGCGGCTCCCCAGCATTCGCCAAAATCCCGCCAGTATCCCGCCAGAGCAGCTCGCCAGTCTGGTTTTGCTTAATGTCCCGCCCGGCGCATAGTTGGGTTTACATTTCATGTTGGTGCCTTCATGTTTTGAGTGTACCCTGAGGCTCGGAAAGGGTGATGCTTTTGTGTTGCTTTGGGTTCGGGTTTCTTTTTGGAAGGGGCTTTTTTTGTTAACGGAGCCGATGTTTGAGTTCTCGAGATCGGCTCGCAGACAAGTGGAGTTTGACACACAGACAGGTGGATAGGGCTCTCAATGCAAAGCTTGTTGAGCAGTCCTAGGCCCCAAGCCACTCGAACACCATGCTTGAATTCACACAACGGTGTTCACGGTCGTAAGCTCGTGAGTGTGGAGGGTGGGATTGCTCGAGGTGCTTGAGGGACAAACTCCGATTTCCCGTCCATTGTGAGGCTTGTCACTGTCGAGCCCGAAAGGCTTGGGACCCCTTCGCTCGACCCTGAGGATGTTCTTTCAGAAGTGGAAGCAAGGGGTGCCTTTTTGGAGCGCTGCCCCGACAACGATGGCCACAACGTGGACACCATCGACGGCCTGGTCCTACCAGGCGAGGTTCAGTCTAACCATCACGCCTACAAGCAATTTGGGATGGACTTGCTCCCGTTTTACGAAGCATCGAGTTCTGCAGAAGAATCAGGGGGACTCATTTCCCCATGTGGGGCAGCGCTGCAAAAGGTGGTTGTTGGTGGAAAACAACTGAACATCATAACCAACTGGTGACCTTTTTTGGGATCAATGCTGAAAGGCGCACAATGCAAATTCCCCCCCCCCCCAAATGACCGTTGAGGTGTGGTGGCTTTGGCGTTGTTGGTGCGGGGCGCTACTGTGGCGGAGGCGGAAAAGGAGGCGGTTGCCGCGCTGGCCGTGACGCGCTCCTCCAAGGTGCAGTTGGCTCAGTTGTCTATGACGCTTACTGCGGGGGGATGGGCAAAATCCGCCTTGCACCAGTGGGTAAGTGGTTTTCCGAGATAGGGCTTCATCCATTTGTTGCAGGATTTTGTGTATCCAAAGTGGGGGACGCACTCAACATGGTTGAACCAACAGAAGGTTTGCGGGCCATCATTCAGCAACTGACAGAGGCCGCATTTGCCAATCGTGTCTGCACTGCCAGCGGCTGCACCACCAAACCATGTCCCCGGATTGCCAGGCGATCGCATCCGGGCGCGAGGCCGGTCTTGTCCCGGCTGTCCCTCAAGATGAGCAATGCTGGAAGCATTTAGTTGCCGAAGGGCTTGGACAGCTGTTCATCTGATCTGAATTCCAAGGCGATTCCATGCCAACTCGCATTGTAGACCCGTTTGATGCGATTTGAGTTCAGTTTTCTGCTTCATCCCACCTGCTGCAGGGTCAGTATGCACGGGGTGTGACCCAGCTGTGGAATGCCTTTGCTGGGCAAACGAATGACTCACTTTGAGTTGTTCTAGTGGGAACACGGCGGCATGACGCAGTTACCCATCTCCCTGCTAGCTGACGGTTTTGATGGCGCTTCTTGCACGGCTTGTAGTTTTCTCCTTTTCTACCTCGTTTGGTTTTGCTCCCAAAGCCATGTCTCAGCTTTGGACTCCTGAAACCCTGTACCATGTCCTGTCACCAATTTGGGCGGACGCTTTTCCCGCTGTGCCCCCTTCCGCCCCTCACTCGGAGAGCTATTTGATGGGCCCTGACCCTTTCTCGAAGCATTTTGTATGACGGCATCTGAAATGGCTGCTTTCCATCTATTTGCAGGTGAGCATAGAGATGGAGGTGGGCACGCTTCGCTCCTCACACCGGGTGGTCACCTTCAACTTTTTGGCGGCGCGGGCCTCAGCATCCAGATAGCGCGATAGCGCGAATGCTGCACATGTCCGCTTTGAGGGCATTCGCGCTTGGCACGGAAGCTCAGGAGTTCTTTGCCCAAGTGGGCTTGCAGGTGCCGCCAGAAGCGGCCTCCAAGTGCGCCTCAAAGACAGCGGCGAGCGGCAAATAATGATTGGCTGAATAGGCAAGACTACCAGCCGTCCAACACCTTCGCTCCTCCTTCAAAGGATGCTTTGCCAGTCTCCCGGTGCCGTTCTTTTTGCGTGTGGTTTCACGTGTTTGCAGGGGGCAAGTGCTTGTGGTGCGGCTCAGGTCCCTCACCGTGGGCGCCGGCCAGTTCCTCGGCACGGTCAAAGCCACGGACCTTGGCGGCTTCCGTGACACGAGCGTCGGTGCTCCTGCTGGGGCCTCGGCCATGCACCAAATTGGAATCGGCATGTGACTATTGATCTATGTTGATCTATATTGATCTATTGATTGAGGTGAGCTCGCTGGGAACCAGCGGCATCTCCAAAGAGGAGCTCGCACAGAGGGAGGTGGGGCACTCGCCAGTTCGGCTTCATGTGCACCATTAGCTAGGTTGGATGCCCTGCCCTGCTGTAGGCAAGAGACCGGCACTTGGCTGGGATAAGCGAAGAGGCAGAGCAGGTATTTCAGCAGTCACAGCCTCAGCTATTTGGACCTCCTCCGTACCTATGGGTTGCGGACAGGCTTGTGTTTCACCCATTCGTATTCTGGGTGGCTCAAGGAAAGCACATTTGCATTCAAGACTTTCGCAGCGCTCATGTCCAATTGGAAAATGCGTTTTCGCGAACCTCCACTCCGAAGCCTGAGAATGCAGCATCTTGCCAGATCCTGCAAGCCCGAGTGTTCCGCGCCATGCTGAGCCATAGCCAGCATGTCGAGGCAAGGGACAGTCTTTGCTAAACACCGCCCAGTGCCGCCCGCAAAAACAAAAGAGTTCAACAAAGAGATCGCCAACAGTACAGTACATGGGGGGAGATTCCTCAGTCTCACCTGAAACTTGGTGACTGGAGTGCCAACTTGAGGGAACAATCATGCCCAGTGAGCTTTGTGCATCATGCAAACCAATCGCACCCTCTCACACTGGAACTCGAATCGGCGCGTACTCTAATTTCAAACTAGTTGTGTTTGCACTGGAACCGGTAGAGGAAAGGCAAGTTTGATTCGTATATGCAGGTGGCATTGGCTCGACTAGCCATTAGGAACGCAGTCTGGGGTGCCCGAGCCTTCTGACGCCATGGCCGGGTACATGATGCCAGGCTATGGGATGCAGCAGCAGTCCTATGGAATGCCGCAAGTGCAAATGACGCCTGAGCAGCAACAACAACAGCAGATGCAACAGTACCAGCAGCAGATGCAGCAGCAGCAGCAGTTGCAGCAGCAACAGTACCAGCAGTACCAGCAACAATACGGTCAGCAACCGCAGTACCAACAGTACGCGCAGCAGGCGCAACAGCAGCAACAGCAGCAGCAGCCGCAGCAGCAACAACCACAGCAACAACAGCAGCAAGCGGGCGGTGGCCAAGGCCCTTTAGCAGTGGCTGGTTGTGCAGATGCGACCGTGGGGAATATCGTCAGAGGCACTTTCAACTTACAGACGGAGAATCATGGCCGGCCCGTCTACAAGAAGAATGAGCCTGTGGCCAACAACCCCACGCTGGACGTGCTGATCTACTTCTGGGACGAGCGTGATGGCGCGAACTTCTGCGGGTGGTGGTTTGGGCCCAAGGTCGGGGGTGACCAGGTCTGGGCCTACAACAGCGAGAGGAGCGCGACGCCCCCGTCCACGGGCTGGCGTGTGCCCTACGACGGCGCGGTGGACCCCAGCTTCGTGATCAGCCCTGCGGGCCAGGGCTACGGACAGGCGTATGGAGCGCAATATGGCCAGCAGGGCTATGGAGGGCAAGCCTATGCCCAGCAGCCGGGCTACCCCCAGCAGTACCAACAGCAGCAGATGCAGCAGCAGCAGATGCAGCAACAGCAGTACCAGCAGCAACAGATGCAGCAGCAGCAGATGATGCAGCAGAAGCAGCGGGAGGAGGAGATGGCGCGACGGCGTCAGGAGGAGCAGCGCCGCGAGCAGCAGGGCGTCATGACCTGCCAGCAGATCTTGCAGAAGCTCCAGGCGGTGACGCCGGAGACCTACGACCACATCAAGGACGAGGTGGAGAAGATGGTGATGCAGAAGCTGCCGGAGTGTGGCACCCAGGCAGAGGCGATGAAGGCTGAGGCCATGCAGCAGTTCCAGGCAGGGGGTGAAAGAGCTCGAAGCCGAAAAGCCCTGTCACTTGATGGGCTGCTTGCATTGGGGTTAGTTCAACCTTCAAAGATAGTATAAACACACAGCTGAGAAGGCAACGGTTTCTGTAGAGTTCGGTGAACAGCGAGGTGGCCCAGATGCGGGTGGAGCAGATCAAGCAGCAGCGCGCAGAGGAGGAGCGCCTGAACGCGGAGCGCAGCGAAGAGGCCAAGAAGCTGCTGGCGGAGCTCAGCACTTTGGTGGACAAAGCTGAGCAGGACACCGCGGAGCTAAAGACGGCGGCTGCCCCGGTGCTAGAGGCCAAGTCCATGTCGGAGGAGGAGGCGAAGACCGCAGGCGGGGGGGAGGGGGAGATGGTCTTGTGCCGGAGAGCCACTTGTAGTTAACCCTGCAGGCAAGGCAGTGAGCGAAGTGTCCGTGGCGGCGAAGGCATCCTGCAAGGCCTGCTCGGACTTCATCGTGGAGCGAAAGGTGGGCATCGACTGCGTGAAGCCTCCGCACCTGGCGGCGATCCGGGAGGAGCAACTGAAGCTGCAGGGCCGCATCCAGGAGTGCTACAAGGTGGTGGTGTCCGCCACCATCTCGGCCAAGGTGATGATCGACAAAGCGATCAGGAAGACCCAGGCGGAGAAGGTCTTCGAGAAGCGCGCCTCTGCCTTCGACAAGTACAACAGCCGCAAGGACCAAGTCTTCACGGCGGATGACATCGTCCTGTACGCCAAGGGCGAGTTTTCCTTCGTTTTGTCCAAGGAGAGCGCCGCGAACATCGTGAAGAAGTTCGGGGACGGGAAATCGGTGCCCCGCGCCCGGTTCCAGCGCATCAAGGTGGCCGTGGGCATCGCCCGGGAGGAGGACGCCTCGAGGCTCCGGCGCGAGGAGGCGGAGCGCAAGCGCCTGGCCTTGGAGGCCAAGAAGAAGGCCATCGAGGTGAGGCAATTCAGACTAGTTCGCCTCATCGGACGCCCAACCAAAAGAACCAAGAAGGATCTCGGTTTGGCCCCCAACCTGGAAGGGTTCTCTCAGGAAAGACACGCCCGTAGAGCATACTTGGAAAGGGGCAGAGCCTATTTTCTCAGATGATGAATATTGGCGTGCAGAATCCAAGAGCGACAGATACTGTTTGTTTGCCGTGCATTGAGGCAGACGTCCAGAAGGTCCTCGACACCCTTCAGGAGGTTGAGCCCACGATTGCCAAGGCAGAGGAGGCAGGAAAGGCGGAGCACCTCTCCAAGGAGTACTTGGCAGGAACTCCAGACAAGGAGGCAGTTGCAACTGCCCTGGCGGCTGCAGATAGCACGCTGAAAGATGCGCAGAGCGAGCTGTCAGACGTGCGATCCAGGCTGACTGACATGGTGAGTTCTGCAGACGAAGACGTGAAACAGTACGTCCAGATGGAGACCCGGAAGGTGGACCTGAAGGTGGGGAATGCCTCAGCTCCGTTTCGGATTTCAATCATCGAAGCCACGAGCCATTTTGTTGGCCGTTTATTCGGGGAATTTTCCTCCGAGCGCCCAGCTGGCCGCTTGTGGCAGGTGCAGTCCATGAACGCGCGGCTGCAAGGCACCTCTGTGGCGGCGGACCGGGGCCGCAGCTTTTTGCAGCACCTGGAGGTTTTGGAGCTCCAGGTGCCGAAGCCGGAGAAACCGGGGAAGCAAATCCGGTCTCAGCACATATTCCTCAAGACCCAATTTGTTGCAATTTACCCTTGATGGGACACGTGTTGGGCAGTGGGCTCCCTCCCCGTTGTTTGGCGGGTTTGTGGCCCAGAGCAGAGTGGAATCAACACCAAACATGCGTTCCAATTCTTGTTGCGGAGCTTTCGGAACATGAGATGATGACCCTTGAACAAACCATGGGCTTGGGCGACACCCACATGGTGCCAAAGAAGGCGAAGCGCAAACGGACATGTTGCGTTTCTGGCCCTCACAATGAAAGGTGGCTGTTGAAAAGGGCGGAGCATGGCCACTTTCGGAAGGCAACGAAGCCACAAGTTTCGGCCACTCGAGGCGGCAAAGCTGGAGGTGGCCAAACTGCTGCGGTCCAAGAAGTTGGATGCCGAGGACGCTGGAAGGGGAGAATTCTTCCATGGCCCCGATCGGCCAACCACATGTTCCATTCACAGTGTGCAAATATAACTGCTGCACTTAGACGATTTCTATCGTAGGGGTTGACCCTCTAGCCAGGCAGTTGCCTTCTCATTGGGTCATGGTCGGGCGAGAGGTCCAAGTTGAGGCAGAAAGCCAGGGCACAACCATTTGAGGTAGTGTTCAACTCACGTTCTTGGTCAGTCTGGGTCAGGCATGTGGAGCCATGTAATTGCTTGCTGGCCAGAAGCACGTCAGATAAGTTTGGTAGGCATAGTGTCAAAGGCATTGGGTGGAAGGAGCTCTTCAAGGCGGCGGACAAGGATGCGGATGGCACGGTGAACTTGGCCGACTTCAACTCCTTCCTGGAGAGCTGCGAGAACTGCCAGGCACGGGATTCACGGTCCAGGTCGCCAGGTCGCCCTCGGTGCACCTTTGATGCCACTTTAGGTGCCCGAGGGAGGCCAAGTGCTGGGTTCCCTTGCGCTTTTGGCGATCCAGGTGAGCGGCGAGAAGATCGAGAAGGTTTTTAACCATCTTTCCGATGGGAACGGTCTCAGCAAGGAGTCGCTGTACCTGGCCTCGCGGACTTACTACTCGGTGGTGTCGGACATCGTGATCACGGACCAGCAGGGTCTGGAGGCGTTGTTCCCTTTGGGAAGTTTGATTTGGTTCGCGTTCCGGTCGACTCGCCAGAATCGGGGCGCATGTGCGATTTGAAGAAAACTCAAATCGGGGAGAAGCAACTTGCCCAACAGTCCCTTTAGGGCGAGACTCTGCGGCGGCTGGAGCTGAAGGAGCTGCTGGAGCTGCTGGAAGGCGGGCTGGGGTTTCCTGCAAGGGAAGGTCACAAGGCAGAAAGGTTACCCCAAGAAACCTAGGGCACCAAATCCCATCCTCTTTTCAAGTCCCGCTTGCAGTGCCCCAACGGATTCTGAGGGGCGGAATGTCCAAAAGTTCCATGGAAGGCCCGGTGGTGGTGGAGAGCGCGGGTTTGCAGCGGGTGAAGTGCCGCACCATCGACGGCACCGAGGGCTGGGTGACGTTGACCGGGAACAACGGCACCTCCTACCTGCAGGTCTCGGAGGGTGTGCTCCAGGCTAGTGGTGAAGTGGGATTAGAGCTAGAATCTTGAACCACTCGGCTTGCAAAGGCGAGTGCAAAAGGCGGCCGCATTGATGCCCCTTGCATGGCTTCGAAGACTTGCCACTTTTGCACACGTGAGGCGGCCGCCCAGATGCTGATCGTGCATGTTCGTGGTTGATGCGGGCCAGCGTGTTGTGTGCAAATGCACCAGAACATCACGGCCCAACAACTGTTGGCAAAACATGTTGCTGCTTTTCACTGAGTGTTCCTGGCTTTGGCACAGGGCCTGGGCGGCGGAGCTTTGGTTTTAGGGCAGGCCTTGCAAAGCAGACATCACCTTGCGCCGGCAAAGAAGCGCGGCATGGGACGAGCCTGACAGTACAGAGTGAACGGGCCAGCTCTGACCAAGGAAGGAGCTTTGGGAGCACCACATGAGGCGATGCATCGAGGAAGAGAAGAAGGATGGCGCTGCCACTGTCACGCCTTGACTTGCGCATTGCTTGTGGCACTGTGGGGATATTGACTGGAGACATTCAATGGAGAAAGACCACAAGCAGATGCTGAAGGCTGGCAGCGCAGAGTGGGCTTGAGAGCTTGGCTTCTTGCTTCACGTCGCAAGGGCCAGATCATCGAAGCACGAGAGCAGCGGGCAACATCCAAGCGGCTGCATGTGGAGCAGGCACCGGGGGGTTGGGGGGTGGACGCCCATGCCCATGACGAACCCACAGCTACACAAACACAGGACATGCAGCCATGCACGCGCACTAGCAGCAGGACACACAAGTGCAGCACAGGCACCGCAAGGATGGCAATGGCAGCACACGCATGACATCATCGGCAACAAGGCAACAATGGCAACAATGGCAACAATGGCAGCAATGGTAGCAACAGCAGCAACAGCAGCATCGGTGGCGGCAGCCGCGGCGGCGGCAGCGGCAGCAGCAGCAGCAGCAGCAGAAGGAGAAGGAACAACGACGACGGCAACATCAACAATGACAACTCCAGCACCACCACCACCTTACTTTTTCTCACGCCACAGCATCAGCATCAGCACCACCACCAGCACCAGCACCAGCACCAGCACCGTCAGCATCGTCAGGATCACTATCATTGCTGTCATCATACGTACACAAACAACATCGTTTCTTTTTTGACTTGGCCTGCGGCATGCCAAGAAAGACCCATTGTGCCGTGCTAAACCACGTGGCGTCACATCATGTAGCAGAATCCCATATCAAGCATGACATGCTACGTCATCTCGTCATGCCATCTTGTGTAGTGAGTTATGAGTTATGCGGCGCATGGCATGATGTGCAATCTTCATATGCTAGCCCAAGTCACCCACATCACATGAATCTATGTGCGTTGCACGACCTCATGGCCAGTTCGCGCTCTCAATGCTTCCAGTGCATAGTACTCTGGAAATCAAAATAAGCATCTTCAGAAGCCCGGCAGGCCTCAACGCACGACTTCCCGGATTTCACAAAGCCGACAGACATCTCTGCTGGCCACTTAGCGGGGCCCTGGGGATCATTTTGCTGGCCTTGCAATTGAAAGGTGCAGGACTACGTTGTGGAGCGCAAGATGCACCTGAAGGACGATCTAGACCAGCAGGTGCAGCCTAGTGTCACTTGCAGGGTGCTCGGGCATCCGAGCAATTGATTACATCGGATCAGGGCAAGTTTGGTGGTTGTGCCAGGTGAATCTAAAGAGGAGGCAAAAGGAGCAAAGGAAGGCTTTGGAGCACATCGGCCTTCTAGTTTCCAGATACTTGTAGAACTGCGACTGAGCCAGAGAGTCAAAAGCCGAGGAATTGGACCGCATCAACAATCTGGCATGCCACAGGGACTTGGCCCAGTTCCCTCCTCGGGAACCCTTAAAGGGCCGCAAAGTTCCATACCCATCTGCCAAATCCCGAGGCAAAAGCTTCGAGAGCGCGACAAAGGCCGCCAGGCTTTGCAGGACATGGGGTTTAGCTTGTGGGGCTGGTCCAATAGCGTCACAATGTTCCATAGGAGTGCCTGCAGTCCTGGGAAGATACCAAGCGCCAAGTTCTCGGCACTGCGACCTTCGCGTTTTGCGGCTCTGGCATCCGAGGCATTCGGGAAGCGCAGAAGGCCATCCATGAGTTCAAGAAGAGACCCAGCGCGTCAATAGCCAAGAGGGTCCTCCGGGAAACCTGATTCCCACGAGCTTCAAGACAGTTGTTGCGAATTCCAGCTTGCAGCTCTGGATTGCAGTACGTCCTGGGCTCTTTTCAAGGTCCCGGTCCGGCCTGGTGGACATGCTGACCGGCCTGCGGACGTCTGAAGGCTCACTCAGCCGTGGCCCAATCCCGTTCAGCAGCCGCGGCTGACGGCAAGCCGCCAAGGTGCGCGAGAAAGGACTCCAATGAGTTCTCTCCAAGTCCAAGATGCACCGCCCGGGCCTGCAGACAAAATTATTGGCTCAGCTCGGTGGAGCCAAATGTGCGCCCAGGTTGACGGACAGAGCGAGGCATGTGCACCTCCCAGAAGTGCTCCGGCCTCAGCAAGCAGCAAGCAGTTGAAGAAGTCTTAAATCATGCATGTGTGTCTGTGTGTGTGTGTGTGCGCTTGCAAGGCCCGCAACGCCAAGTGACCTCTCCATGCTAGGAACTCGGCATTAGATTCGTCAGCGGAGAGGGCATTTGTTTGGCTCAGTCCGCTCTCCAGCCGTCCCACCACCGGCTCGGTGCGGCGTTTCCCCATCTCGGCAGCGGCAAATTTGGCTGGGGCGCTCGGACAAATTGTTGAAACGTGGGGCATATGCACGCCTAGCACGGTTTTGCATGCACGTGGTTCAAACTGCTCCTTTCAGCATTGGATTTTGCTGCAAGGCTTGGGGCATGCACAGGAAGAGGTGAGCGTCTGGTAAACGTTCTGCTGGGCGAGCCAAGACTTTGACAAAGCAGCGCTTGAAGGATCGAGGGATGATGTGATGGCATGAGAGCCAGAAGGAAAATTGTATAGACAAATCTCTTTTAACTCGATTTGGAGTAGATCCGTGCCCTCTCTGCAAGATAGATTTGGGGGTGGATCTGGGCTCGGTTCGGAAATTCAGCTAGCAGCAGGTTTAACTGACCCGTACTTATTTTGACATGCCCTTCTGTCTCCAGGAGGTTTCACCACGCTTAGTTGCCTTTGTGCCACGTCAGACCCTCCAGAGACAGGCGGTAAGATGGAGGCATGCGGAGATGCAGTTTGAACAAGTCTATCACTCGGAGCCTTGCTGGAGCTTGGCATGCTGACCGCTCTGAGGTTTCTGCCTCAAGCAAGTACGGGTCACAATCATGGCTTATGGAGCGGCGGTTTGCATAGCACAGCAATCGTTGCTGACATATGTGTGCGCCATACTGGCATCCGCATGTCTGAACAATGGCCAAGCCATGATGCAACATTACTCGACACAAGGTGCACATCAGCTGCACGTATGAAGCCTCAGATGTCGACAGATGGTGTGTTGGGCACTATTGATGCTCAGCTTTGATGCCCGATGGTGAGCCCACAACCGCGGACAAAGCTAGATCTCCAGACAAACTGCCCATCTTCTGTGCTCAAAGCATGCGCCGGTATGGACACTTTACAAGACCTGGCCGCAGCAGCTGTGGCAAGCTGGGAGGCCTGGAACGCTGTGACTTGTCTCGTCCATTGATACCCTCCAGGTGGAAGATGACACGGGCTGGAGGCCGTGTGATGACGAGGCCGTCGTTGCATGTCCATTGCTTCCCTAACTCCTGGGCCCCAGCCAGGTCTTGCAGAGCCTACGCGTGGCTGGAGCCGGGCGCAAGCGACGCGTTACTTGCAACGTACGAGGGCGTAGCTGCGAACTGGACCTGGACGCAAAGACCGAGACAGATACAGCTACAGGCAAGCGAAGGCTCGCAATCTCTGGACGGCATTGTCTGTGCAAATTGTGAGGAAAGGCAGCTTGCCCCGTTTGTACGCCCGCAGGCGTCTTCGCATTGCGGGCGCTTCTGAAGCAGAAACTAGAGTTGCCCTTGCAGCCTGCGGGTCAACTTCCGGTGACCTGCTTTGAGCCCTGCAGGCCTCACACCCTTCCAAGCTCCGAGTTTCTGTGCTCTTCCCGCACTCAATAATAGCAGCGATTGCTCCCTTCCCCCTGTGCCTGCCCCATACAACTATATATATATATAGATATGTGTGTGTGTGTGCGCCGTATACTAATTTTGCTACCATTTGTTGGTTACGCTTTTTTAGGTATGGAAGTAGACCCTTAGAATCTTTCATAATCCTGGGGGACTCATGTATCCAGGTACAGCCTCGGCAGCGGTTGCTGACGAGGGCACGAGGCAGCTGACCCCAGCCCATTTCTCCCAGATCGGCCCAGCTTCCCATGAAAGCGCATCCCCCCAGCTGTAGGCCACGAGGTGCAACCCGGCTAACATGCAACAACAAACACCTTCATGAAACTTTCACCGTTGGCAAATTTGGCATAGTTTTGGAGAGGCGAAGACAGGGAGCTCAGGACCTCGACGCTCACAGCATTTTCTGGACAGTTGCTTGGGAGGCCGCCGGATCTGACAACCGACGCGGCTGGAGCAGAACAGGCGGCAAGATTGTGTGCATGCTAGTTTCTGCGACGTGTCTTGATATTCTTGCCACTTTCAGCTGGAGTTGCTATCATTGTACCAGCCAACAGGAGAGTAGAATGTACTGATAAACGAAGCCAATCAAAGACAGCAGACAAATGTTCAAGTTTCCGGCACCGCTGATTCTGTCTCCTGGCCGGAGTCAGTGCTTGCTGCTTTGCGGTTGCTGTCGTGCCGCGTCACAGCATGCAAGCTGCTTGACATCAGGCAAGGGTGAAGAAGACTTTGTCTGGCTATTTCACCAAGACCAGGGAGGGTAGGGAGCCGCCCTCGGAGGCTGGTTGGGGCAAGTTTGGATGAGAGAGATCATCGGTGCGCACTTGGCAGGTGCGACCAGCGGCTCCCGCTACGGCCCCGAGGGCGCCGATAGCCACGGCGACCACGGCGGCTTCAGCAGCTGCCCCAGTGGCAGCCTCTCCAGCGAGCCCCGCAGGCGAGGGACCATTCAGATTGTTTCACTGGCAACATTGCATGAAGATGGCAAGAGGGAGAAAAACTTGGGAGACCTGAAACACGCGATACACCCATTGGCAGGAGGCACTGTGAAGAGCGAAGCTGGAGATGGCGCTGACCTGGGCCTTGATCCGAAGACAGGAGCGGCCTGTCGGGGCTTTCGGGCGAGGCTTTTGGTTCGCAGCCAACGTTGCATGGCTTGGCCACCGCAGCTTGGGTTTCTGGACCGGTGCAAGTCACTGCCCGGTTGCTCTCAGAGGTGCCCCTCAGCTGCCTCGGCAAGATGACAGAAGCCCAGACTAGCTGAACCCACCCGCATGGCACAACCTCCCCCGCCAAAGTTGACAGAAAGCTGGCCGGACTGGGAGGGACTTGTTTGAAGCCATGAATGCCATGGGAGTTGCCTTTGGACGGGCGCTCGGCTCTTTGGGGCCGCGGCTGCGCCTGGGCATTCCTCGAGCCCATGTGCAAAGTGCCAGGCATTTGACGTGTGCCTGGCCATTGCCACGGCTGGAGCGGCCGTCAGCTGCTCCTTGTCCTGGGCCTGGTTGCTCAGGCGGTGGCTCAAGTGGCTCCAGGGCCTTTTCCTCGGTGCACGACATCCTGGCCAATGAAAACATCCCCTTCCCGCGGGTTCGGGTGGTTGATGACTCCGGGCTCGTGGGGGATTTCAGCACAGGTGAGGCCCTGGTATTGGCCAAGCGCCGAAAGACGGACTTGGTGGTTCTCTCAGGCCAAGTGGACCCACCCCTGTGTCGCATGGTGAAGCTGGGTGTGTACATTGCTGAGCTGGACGAAAAAACAGCCTCAAAAGAGAAAGCCCAGAAGGATCAGCGCCTCAGGGAATTCAGCTTCGATCCTGCCATGCGTGTGAAGGGCATGCGGTTTGCCGCGACCATCGACGAGCACGACTTCGAGCGAAAGGTGAACCAAGTGCGCAAGTTCCTGCAAAAGGGCCACCGTGTGGAGGCGCGGATCCTGCAGGGCCGTGCCACTGCGGAGGACGTGCTAGACCTGGCGCTGCGGATCATTGCGGAGATCCGTGACTTGGCAAAGCCCGAGTACTTTGAGGAGAGCATCCGGGAGCTTCAGCTGGCCATCCACTCCCCCAAGAGCCTGAAGCGCCGGGGCAAAGCGCCCCCCGAGGAGCTGCGGGTAAGGCTGTGGCCCTGCACCCCAGAGCAGGCCGCTGCCTTCCAGCTGCCCGCCCATATCGTGGGCCCTAGGAGGCGCAAGGGCCCTGCCATTGTGGGCATCGACGACCAGGAGCAGGACGAGGACGCCTGGAAGGAGAACAAAAAGCCCCACCCTGAGAGCCGGGGCTTTTCAAAGAGGGAGCTGCGCAGACAGGCCCTGGACGATTGAGCGCGCGTGCAAACAGGTGCGAGCTGCATTTTGGGGTTGTTGGGTTGCTTTGCCTCCAGAAAAGCACAAAAAGACTTGCTTCACGAAAGCCGTTGTCCCGTGACCCAGTACTCTGAATTGCTTCAGGGATGTCGACTTGCGTTGCGATTGGGTTGAAGCAACCTGATGTCCAAACATGTTCTATTTTTCTAATTCTGTCGGGGTTTTTCTGTGCAGTGACAGGGAAGTAAGCTCTTGTTGAATGGCCTTTGTGCATCGTGTGCATGCAGTTTGTTCAGCTGGGAGGAGGGCGCTCCGCCAGACCAAAATGACCGAACTTTGTTCAAAGATACAAGCGGCAATGATGCAAGAGTTCGGGGTCTTTCGTGACTGCCCTTGATATTACTTGATATTGCAAGTCGGGGTTGTTCCTTTCAGACTCCTTGGTTTGATTAGTCGGGACACCCCGCGCACTGCCATGCAAACCTGCGTCTGGTTCTGGCAGGCAATGAAAGGATTGCCTCCATCTTTGAGGAGATGAGCGCCGTACAGAAGCTGCGCCGCGACCGATTCCGCTCACAGGCGTGGGCAGAGAAGAGCCATGCGAGTTCAAGGCTTCTGAGCGCCGCTTGGGATGCAGACTCCGAGACTCCTAGCCGAGGCCTACGCCAAAGCTGCGCTGGCCCTGCGAAGCCTCCTGGAGCCCATTGCCAGCGGCGCCCAGGCCAAGGCCATCAAGGGTATCGGGGCCGGAATGGCGCATCGCATCGATGCGTCTTGATGCACTTGGGGTGGTTGGGAATCAAGGGAGTTCAAGGCAAGGGAGTTTCGGGAAAAAACAACAAGACCCCCGAATGAATGGCATCCAAGGTGATCCTTGAGACTGGCGAGCTGAAGGAGTTGGAGGAGTTGAAAAAGGATAGTGACGTGGTGGCCCTGCGGGAGCTGCGCTCGGCCCGAGCCTCAGGCGACCAAGGCGGTTCAGGGAGAGGAAGGCCGATGTTTTACCTCCAGTTTTGGTTTCTCCGGGCTTGGTTGGGACCTGGGCATGGCACATATGCGTATATCAAGCATACATGTTGTGCATTTTTGTCTGTGTGTGTTTTTTTTTGGGGGGGACGGACGGAGTATTCAAGTCTGAAGGCTGCCTCGAATACCCAATCCGGTCGGCCTCAAACCGTCGAACCCCAAAATCGAGGGCATCAAGGCCACCGGATGAATCGGCGTTGAATCGGCGGGGAGAGGGGGAGAGGGGGAGAGGGGGAGAGGGGGAGAACGCACCGCGATCAACGCCGCAGGTGCACGGCATCGGCGCGGTGCGCGCCGCGGAGCTGGTGGAGCGGGGCGTCCGCTCGCTGGCGCAGCTGCGCGAGGCGGTGGCCAAGCACCAGGTCCACCTGGACGCAGCCCAGGCGCCGCTGTTGGGGAGGGGGGAGGGGGGGGGGGTGGAGTTCCAAAAGGGTTCCAAGCAAACTCTGGTGCATTTTGCTGGGATGTTAGGACTTTTAGCTTGTTGCCAACTAATGGGTTTGTCATTAAACCACTAAAAGTTAAGCTTTTAGCAGGGGAGCAGAAAGCAACCGAGTAAAGAGTACAGGACTACGTAGCCAATGCAAATAGACAGCAGCCAGTTTGGAGGATCTGTCGCAAGCAGGTGGTATTCATGGAAGTAGCCTTGAAGAAATCCCGTTTTGGGTTGCTGAAATTGTTGGTTGCTGTGGAAGCTCCCCTTGAAACTAGGGTTCTCACGAAAAAGCAATAGAGCAACCAAACGAGCAACCAAGGATTGCGTCCTTTATGAGCCTTTTGAGTTCTCAGATTTACTTTGGGGACCCAGGAAACTAAGGACATTGCCAGTCTTTGCAGCATGTGTCGATGATTGTTTTTCTTAATGCACTATCCCAAAATAGGTCCCGTATGCTGACACCATGGAGGCAAACAAGTTGGAAGCAACAGCTGCTGAGGTAGAATGTGCGCGGATCAAATTTCTAGCTCTCAGGCGCTGGGCCTTCACCACTGTGAGGAGTTCAGACAGCGGATTCCTCAGGCGCGGGGAAGCGGCAAGCGCAGCTCCCCTTCGAAAACGCGGAGTTTCTTCAGGCGTTTTACCGTTCGGTCACGGAAACGTCATTCCAGAGATGAGTCCTGGGGCTTGCGCGCCAGGCTGAAATGAAGGAGCACCATCGGTTGCTAGAGGTGCACCTAGACAAGGAGAACCCATCCTTGCTCCTTACTGCCGGGGGCTGAGGGTAACTGGAGGAGCTAAGATTCAACCTTTAAGAGAGGGCGCTGGTGCACTTCTTCCTTCAATAGTTGGGGTTGGGGTCATTGGAGCCCCTAACTCAGATATGTGGCTCCTACCGACGAGGGCGCCCAGATTGTGGCGACATTGACGCTTGGCCAGCCCTGGGAACGGGCCAGCACAAGATTGGCAATGGCCCATTTGGCCTATAGGCACCGACCCCAAGGCCACATGCCTTTGCTCTGGGTGTAAGGATGTGCTCATTTCCCATCCGGAGTACACCACCACCAAGCGTGCAGCAAATGCTGGTGGCAAGCTGCTTCATGGTTTTGCCGCTTGCTTGCAAAACAGTGCCAGCTTATTGACTCATGTTGACTCATGCGGGTATTTAATTTTGCAAGACGCGCCATAGGCCTCCGCCCTGGTGCTTGCTGAGGTTGACTCTCTGAAAAGGGCAGGCTACGTAACTGGTGACCTTGCCTTCGGCAACACCAAGTTCATGGGAATCTGCAGGCGCAACGCGCCGATAAGAAGTGGCTCACGCGGAGAGAGCAGACATGTAGGCGCCTTGATGGGTTGCACTCCTTTGCCAACCTGAAGGGTTTTTAGATCACCTGAAGCGTTCTGCCAGCCTTCTCGGCAATTTCAGCGTGGAACAGTTGCTTGAGCCCCTTGAGCTTCACACAGATGAGTTGATTTGCTGGGCTTCTTGGCGCCTCTTTCATGTCGGTAGGGCTCATGGTTTCAGCTGCTCTTTGCGGAGAGGGCTGTGGTTGCAGAATGCCTCCCAAAGAGCTTGTTGTGAGGTGCAAACCTTTGAGATGTTGTCAGACGTCAAGACTACCACAGGGCACGGCCAGACATCTTGGCAAGGCTGCCGGGCGCCGAACGGCTGCACCGGCGTTTGGACATTCGCTGCGTGCCCTACGACCAGTACCACTTTGGCAGCATCCTCAGATGAAACAGGTTTAGCGAGGAAGTCTGTTTTCAAGAAGTGTTACACACATGTGCCACTGAACAGCGCACAGGCAAAGGAGGGCCAATAGCTCGCCCATGCCGACTCGGCTCAAAAGTGCGTGAGAGGGTGCAGACTCAGAAGCCCGATTATTCGGTAGTCATGCCATTACCAGGTGCTAAAGCGGGGGTGCCCACAACCACAACAAAATGAAACAAGAAGAAGTCGGACAGCTTGGAACTTCATGACTTTCTGCACGCTTGGCTCTTGGAAGCCTTAGCCCTGGGCATCATGAGCTTGGATTGGAGCGACCGAGATTTGCTGGAGCTGCTCGGCTGGCATGGCCAGTCACGGTCGGATTCGCATACACACACACACACCGGACGAAACCCAAGGTGGGCCCAGCGAACCTTGCCTGAGTTCCTAACGAAGTGCATGCAAGATCCTGATGACAGGACTCGTGAATGTGGCCTTGCCCGGATAGCAACAGACATGGAAGAACCGCATGGCCTGCAGGACCAGGAGTATTGCGTCAACTCCTTGGTCAGAGTACGAGCTCTCGATTGGGGAGGTGCAGCTTGAAGGCGGTCAGTGCATGGTGTTCCAGTGTATTTTACCAAACTGAGCGAGTGAAACGTTAGCACATGGCCCCAAACTGAATTCCTGACGTTGCACAGCAACGCGCTCGTCGTCAAGCCAAGCAGGAGAGGAAGCAACAGACCTTGGAGTTGTCATTGCAGGTTGCAAGGTTGGCATATGTGCTGAACTTTAAAAGGCTTGGCCGCGCAGGTGAAGTTAATCTCATTGGAAGACACAATGAGCCGATGTTCCAGTTTGACCTTGATTTGGGGATGCGAGTGGATGTGGAGAAGAAGGTTGCCCCTGAGCTGAAGAGCTTGGTCAGTGTCAACTGGGTGCCACAAGCAAGGCTCATTGTGCTGGAGCCTACCTGCATCTGACTCGCTCTAGGTGGACAGGCCTCGAAACGATGAAACCGACTACTGGCCGGGCATCGCGCAGATCGTTCATTTTGTTCCTTGGCGCTGACTGGCCATAAAGCTTGCGACCAACTCAGCGTTGCCAAGGACACGGAGAACCTGAGACCTCCGATCATCACGCGTTTGCATGAGCTCCCTGACGACATTGCCTCTGAAGTGGGCTGGTACCTCCAAGATGCTCGGCTTTTGCAATGAGCCGCGAAACCGTCGGACAGTCCAGGGGGGTAAGCTGAGGAAGGCATGGGGCGGAAGCTGATTTGGCATGGCCTCGCCCGATGGCACGCGTATGCGGCTCCTTGGCGTTCGTGCTTGTTTTTTGCAGCTTGGGAATTTTTGGTTTGAGCGCGGATGGCAAGGTCCAGAAATGGCTCAAGCAGCCGCCCCCGCAGGTTGAGGATGTGGGTGAAGTCATGTCCTGTTGAATGTTGTTGAGGGTTCTAGAACCATCAAAAATATGCACTTAACAACTGCAGTGAGTGCAGGATCCAGTGAAGAACCCTGAGCCGGCTCCCTCGTTTCCGCCTTTTCTCCAAGCAGCCCGGGAGAGGCGGGGGCCGCATGCTCGTACCATGCTATCTACAGTTGGCGCCGCACAGGTACGAGGAGGAAATTCGCCAGATTCTTTTAGGTCCAGATGAGGTGGAAGAAGAAGAGGAGGCTGGGTAGTGGGAAGGCAACGCTAGAGGATTGATGCTTCTGCACAAAGGACCCACGGGGCTTGGCCTGGCAGCAACACGCGCTGGGCGGACTGTCAGAAGCGGACGGCCACCCTGGATATGTGCCTTAGAGCCGTAGGACACGATTTACTTGTTTTTCTTCGCCTTGAATCGCCTTTTTTGTGTGGTGAGCCCGAGTCATTTCAGGTCAGCCCTCCCATCTCTGACGACGAGGATGACTTTGATCCTTTTGCGCCCTACGAGTTCTCTGAAGGCACGTTCGAGTTCAAACGCCAGGGTGCTCCTCCAAAGATGAAGAAGTTCGGGCGCTACCCCTTCATGCCGTCGATGCTTGCAGGCCGGGATGTGCTTCACACTTGAAGGGCTTTGTGATGGCACGAACCCTGCTGAGGCCTCGGCGGACCCGCAAAGGACTGGCTGCCGCCCAAGGAGCATGCCATCGCACATCCAGAGTGGTTCCAGAGCCGGGAGAAGCCAGTTCTGTCCAACGGCGTGTCCCACTTGGACGTGATGCTGGAGCAAGCCCGCAAGAGACGAGAGGAGGCAGATCTTTCTGTGGCAAACAAGCTCACCTCCATGAAGGCCGCTGAGCTGTGTGCGGCCATCGAGGCCGGGGATGTGATGAAAGCATTCGAGAAGCTGGACGCGAAAACGGCCAGCTGTCCCCACCCTGACACGGGGCGATGCGCCTTGCATTACTGCATTGCAAAAGCTTCGCACGAGCTGCTGCGGATGGTGCTGGAAGCAAGGGCTGACCCAGACGCGAGAGACTCCTATGATCAGACCCCTCTGATGATGGCAGCCAAACAGGCAAGGGGGAAGACTGGGATGGATGGAGGGGTGCCCAGCAGTTTTGCCTTTGTGCCGCCTGGGGATTGGGGCTTGCCTGAGTGCCTTGCGTGCGACGGATCTCTTGTCAGGGGGATCGGGAAGCGGCCCGCGTATTGCTGGACGCCGGGGCAGATGCGGCTGCGGCAGATTCCCTTGGCCGCACGGCGTCGGAAATGGTCAAGGCCGGACGGAGGTGAACCTCGCAGGAGGTGGCGCGAGTTGTGTGCCCGCGTTGGCTTCGTAGCATCGATGCAGATGATGTTGTTCGCCCATGTCTATGTTTGCCCTGCTCAGCATTTCACAGTGGGGCTCCCTTGCGTAACGAACTGTTTGCTCACAGGTCGGGCGCCACAACCCTGCCCAGGTGTTGCAAGTTCCCGAGGAGGAGAATCCCCTGAAAAACTGGCGTGAGAAAATGGCTGGCCAACCCATACCGGAAGACCCGGCAGAGAAGAGCCAGGATGCCATTGCTGCTTGATTTCTGGCTGCTTCTCATGGGCATAAGCAGAATTGATTTTGTTCTTTCAGCGCGCCGAAGCGGTGAGGAGCTGAAAGGCTTGATCGACAGCAAGGAGAAGCCGAAAAAGTTTGGGCTGTCGCTGCTGTCGGCGCTGGCCCAGAAGGATGTCCGGACTGCGGAGGCGGCTATGGATTCTGGCGCCGACATGAGCCTGCAAGATGACAAGGGTGATACCGCCCTGATCCTCATTGCGGGCCGCCCAGGTTCAGTGTACCGGCTGCTTGCCCTGTACCGGCTGCCAACAACTTGCTTGGTTGAGCTTGTTCGACTTGCCGAGGTGAAGGGCAAGTGGAAGGACTCTGGGGGACTTCAGCTGCGCATTCTGCGGAAGGCAGTGAAGGCAGGAGCTGCGGTGGATTTCCAGAACGCCCAGGGGAACACCGCACTGCACTTCGCCTCCCACCGCGGCAACTTGGAGTTGGCTGAGGCCCTCCTCAAGTCGAAAGCCAACCCCAACCTGTCGAACTCCGAGGGCAACACCGCGTTGATGTACGCTGCCCATGGGGGCCACGAGGAGTTGTGCACGGCGTTGCTGGAGGCTGGGGCAGTGGACTCCGTCAACAGAGCGGGGCTCACAGCCGTCGCCATGGCAGAGCGCAAAAACTTCAAGACCTGCGCGGCCCTCATCCATGCCTACATTTTGGCACCTAAGGCACCTCGTTGGTAGGTCGTTCTCGGGGGGGGGGGGGAGGGAAGACTTGTGGGGAATGCCAGGCTGACGGCAGCAAGGCAGAAGCCAAGAGGAAGGCAAAGCAGAAGCCGCTGGCGTTCGACTACTCGAAGTGGGACTCCTTGGAGAGAGAGATGAAAGAAGATGAGGAAGCAGAGGAAACCACCAAAATGCGCGAAGCCAATGCAGCTGTCCGCAGGCCGGCTCCAGGATAACGGCGCAAAGTGCCTTGAGAACTAGATAGGACAACTTGAGATTCCCCACGTTGGGACCCATGTGCTCCAGCAAGGCAAATAACTCTGAAATTTGGATTTGTGACGGCAGACCGGCCACGTGTACCCATTGACACTTGCCTCTTCGCCCCTAGCTGTAGGTAGTAAGCACGGCCCGCAAAGACCTGTCAAACGGGTAGCTGCATTCGTTTTTCCCCAAATGGAGTGGGCGCCATGTTCTGTTCCCCTCAACAGCTGCAGTGGGCGTGGGGCGGGTTCGGGAAAGTTCCGGAGGTTCAGAAGAAATTATGGGAATGACTTTTGGACGGGGATATTTCTTGGGCTCATTTGGTTCCCTTTGAACCGCAAAAACGGGACGCTCAAACAAAATAGATCTCTATATAGAAATATGCCTCTGCAGATCTACAATGTACGTTTATGTATGTGGATCTCGGATCTATCTCCATTTGGACCAAGCTGCAGCCAGGCCCACGCCCAAGTTCGAGGACTTGGGCCCGGAGGCCTTTGGCCTCCCAGCGGACACTCCCTGGCCGCCTGATTCTTCACTGCGGAAGAAGGGGCCCTTTGACTATGGGCACTGGGACAAAATCGTGGAGGACGGGGCTTGTTTGCCTTTTTGCTGCCTTGTGATTTCTGGATGGCTTGGCTGGTGATGTTCCCGTGTAAATGATGGGAGCATGCAGAACGTTGTTTCAAGGGATGGGCACGGTACAGTTGGTCGCCTCAGCCCTTTGATGGTTGAGAGGACGTGGAGCGGCAAGACAAGGTGCTGGAACGGTACGAGCATTTGCAGAAGAACCCGAAGTACGAGTACCGGGAGGGCCAAAAGATGCAGGTCATCTACTGAGCTCACGCTGCTAAGAGAGCTTTGCAAAGAGCTGACGTGTTTCCATGTCATGGCCTGCCAGTCCGATGGGCCACTCACTTTTGGCATGTAGAGAGGCCACATTTCCCATCCATGGAAAAAGAAGGAAGGCCCGCATTCTGGATGCCTGCAGAATTGCGGATGGCAGCAGGCTGTGCATGACCTTCCGGGTTTTGACGAACTGCTTCTGGCAAGTTGCTGGACGACTTGTGCTGTTCGTCCCTGTCACCTGACACGAAAGGCATGCTGTACTTTACGGGCAGTGCAGCAGCCGACTCAGAATTGTAAGCAACGTCCTGAAAGTCAACTCATGTCGGTCGAGGCCCTTTCAGTGAAGATGCGCTTGCAACTCTGCTGCAGTGAAGTTGTCGAAGTTATCGCATTGGGGTTGCAGCGGCACGCTCTATGCGTGGTTGCGAGTCACTCTGGCATAGACTCAGCTGTGGCCAGTCAACTGAAGGAAAGCAATTGAGATGGGCCTGACACTGAGCGAGTACGGCTTGGAGAACAAACTCACTGGTGAGAAGGCGGGCTTGAGCAAGGGCTTCTTTTGAGGGGGCCTTGAAATAGAGTTGGCAATTTGCTTTGCGGTTGAGGTGTTGGCCAACTCGGAGGAGGATATTTTCCGACTCTTGGCAAGAACTCCTGCACGGCTGACGCGGTTGACTCGAACAGCCTAGGAGCCCTTGGCATGCCCTACCTGGCGCCCACTGAGCGGTGAGCTTTGGGTCTAAGCTTGTGCCAGGAGCCTTCGTGATGTGGCGGCCAGGGTATCCTTGACGACGTCAATTGGCAAAACACAAGTCCCCAAAGCATCAGCGTAGGGAGTTTGCGTGTTGCCGGTCAAACGCAACTGGGATTGGCTGTCACACCAGTACGGTACGCAACAGCATTGGCACTCGGCCATCACCCTGTAGCAAGCATATCAGTCAGCCATGGTGAGCCCAGCGATGCTGAAGGGTATGAACACGGAGATTTACGGGGAAGGGCATCCTTTCGGAGACCCGTCCTGGTACCAGGCCTACAACACGCCCTACTAGAACGACTCGCACAAGAAGTTCCGCAAGATCATGCGGGAGTACGTGGACGAGCACATCATGAGCAACGTGCACGACTGGGACGAGAAGGGCGTGATCCCCAAGGAGATGTACCTGGAGGCCGGCAAGCAGGGAACCCTGGGCCTGTGCATTGGCCGGCCATGGCCTGAGAAGTATTTCGGCCCGTCCCCTTGGGGCTTTGAGCCGGACTACTTCCATGAGCTCATCATGTACGACGAGATGTCCCGCACGGGCTCCGTTGGCTTCCAGTGGGGCATCGCAGGCGGCACCACCATCGGACTGCCGCCGGTGTACCACCACGGCAGCGAAGAGTTGAAGCAGCGGGTGATGCCAGCCTGCGTCAAGGGAGAGAAGGTGTGCTGCCTGGCCATCACGGAGCCAACCGCAGGTAGCGACGTGGCCAACCTCAAGTGCACAGCCAAGCTGGAGGGTGATCACTACATCCTGAACGGCGAGAAGAAGTGGATTACGAACGGCATCTTCGCCGACTACTTCACCGTGGCATGCCGCACGGGCAAGCCAGGGGTGGGCGGCATCAGCTTGTTGCTGGTGGAGAAGGGCATGCCGGGACTGGAGACCCGCAAGATGAAGTGCTCAGGTGCGTGGTCGTCCGGCACCACGTACATCACCTTTGACGACGTGAAGGTGCCCAAGGGCAACCTGTTGGGCAAGGAGGGCAAGGGATTCCAGTACATGATGCAGAACTTCAACCACGAGCGCTTCGCTTTCTGCGCTATGAGCACGCGTTTCGCGCGGGTGTGCTTGGAGGAGTCGCTGAAGTTTGCCGGCAAGCGCAAGACGTTTGGGAAGACGCTCATTCAGCACCCCGTGATTCGCTTCAAGGTGGCTGAGATGGCGCGCCAAGTGGAGGCCACTCACAACTGGCTGGAGTGGATCACCTACCAGCTGAACACCATGCCCAAGCTCGAGGCCATGCTGAAGCTGGGTGGGCACACGGCCCTGTGCAAGGTCCAGTGCACCAAGGCTGGGCCCCGATGGATTGAAACTGAGCGTTCTGGGGGGCCAGGGGAAAGGGCGATTGGTGGCTCCGTGTGGAGCTGTGCTGCGTGCTGGGGGTTGGGGTGTGCGGAGCGTGGAGGTGTGCGGGTGTGGGGTGGCTGGCGTTGCCTGGCTTGGGCAGGTCATGGAGTACTGCGCCCGCGAGGCCGCTCAGATCTTCGGCGGGCTGTCCTACTCCCGTGGCGGCCAGGGTGAGAAGGTGGAACGATTGAACCGAGAGGTCCGCGCCATGGCCATTCCAGGTGGTCAGGGCCTCAGCAGAAGTGGGCCGGCGGTTGGAAGCGTGCACTTTGTCTTTGTGTGACGCGTGGCTCAGCACCAGCGTCGCTGAGGCTCTGAGGAGATCATGCTGGACTTGGGCGTGAAGCAGTCCACCAAGTTGGCCCAGATGGCCAAGATGTTTGCTGAGGCGGCGCCCCAGCCACAGGCAGCCAAGCTGTAAGAATCCCTTTCCCATGCCTTGACCCCACTCAGAATTTACAGCGCGTGTGAGTTTCGGAGCGGCAAGAGGCCGCGCATATGCGTTTCAAGTTTCGACCCTGCTTTTGACGAGTCACAGTCTTACAATGTTGTTTTGCAAATTCCTCATGAGAGGGAACCTTCCATCACGGTGTGCCACAAACTGGCAATGAGAAGCGCCAACGCAAAGCAAGTATTTTTCGTCCAGTTTAGGGTTTGGGCTGGCAGCCACACTGTGAATCACCGGGATGTGGAAGGAGCCTCTCAAGCAGTTGATGCCTTGACTGCGGAAGAAACCTCGGCGGGGGCCAAGAAAGCAGCACATGCTGCGCATTGCCTCTGAGCGATTGGTTTGGTCACTGAAATTCACTTGCTTTCTCTTGGTTTCGGTTGCACTGGCTGGTCTTGATGCTCGCCTTGCAGCTTCTTCTGGTAGCATTCTGTTCAAGAGGGTCGTCACCGCTCACAGGAGGCGGATAGCCGGATAGCTGAGTAGGTGATCTGAGCCATGGTGAGCCCAGCGATGCTGAAGGGTATGAACACGGAGATTTACGGGGAAGGGCATCCTTTCGGAGACCCTTCCTGGTACCAGGCCTACAACACGCCCTACTACAACGACTCGCACAAGAAGTTCCGCAAGATCATGCGGGAGTACGTGGACGAGCACATCATGAGCAACGTGCACGACTGGGACGAGAAGGGCGTGATCCCCAAGGAGATGTACCTGGAGGCCGGCAAGCAGGGAACCCTGGGCCTGTGCATTGGCCGGCCATGGCCTGAGAAGTATTTCGGCCCGTCCCCTTGGGGCTTTGAGCCGGACTACTTCCATGAGCTCATCATGTACGACGAGATGTCCCGCACGGGCTCCGTTGGCTTCCAGTGGGGCATCGCAGGCGGCACCACCATCGGACTGCCGCCGGTGTACCACCACGGCAGCGAAGAGTTGAAGCAGCGGGTGATGCCAGCCTGCGTCAAGGGAGAGAAGGTGTGCTGCCTGGCCATCACGGAGCCAACCGCAGGTAGCGACGTGGCCAACCTCAAGTGCACAGCCAAGCTGGAGGGTGATCACTACATCCTGAACGGCGAGAAGAAGTGGATTACGAACGGCATCTTCGCCGACTACTTCACCGTGGCATGCCGCACGGGCAAGCCAGGGGTGGGCGGCATCAGCTTGTTGCTGGTGGAGAAGGGCATGCCGGGACTGGAGACCCGCAAGATGAAGTGCTCAGGTGCGTGGTCGTCCGGCACCACGTACATCACCTTTGACGACGTGAAGGTGCCCAAGGGCAACCTGTTGGGCAAGGAGGGCAAGGGATTCCAGTACATGATGCAGAACTTCAACCACGAGCGCTTCGCTTTCTGCGCTATGAGCACGCGTTTCGCGCGGGTGTGCTTGGAGGAGTCGCTGAAGTTTGCCGGCAAGCGCAAGACGTTTGGGAAGACGCTCATTCAGCACCCCGTGATTCGCTTCAAGGTGGCTGAGATGGCGCGCCAAGTGGAGGCCACTCACAACTGGCTGGAGTGGATCACCTACCAGCTGAACACCATGCCCAAGCTCGAGGCCATGCTGAAGCTGGGTGGGCACACGGCCCTGTGCAAGGTCCAGTGCACCAAGGCTGGGCCCCGATGGATTGAAACTGAGCGTTCTGGGGGGCCAGGGGAAAGGGCGATTGGTGGCTCCGTGTGGAGCTGTGCTGCGTGCTGGGGGTTGGGGTGCGGAGCGTGGAGGTGTGCGGGTGTGGGGTGGCTGGCGTTGCCTGGCTCGGGCAGGTCATGGAGTACTGCGCCCGCGAGGCCGCTCAGATCTTCGGCGGGCTGTCCTACTCCCGTGGCGGCCAGGGCGAGAAGGTGGAACGATTGAACCGAGAGGTCCGCGCCATGGCCATTCCAGGTGGTCAGGGCCTCAGCAGAAGTGGGCCGGCGGTTGGAAGCGTGCACTTTGTCTTTGTGTGACGCGTGGCTCAGCACCAGCGTCGCTGAGGCTCTGAGGAGATCATGCTGGACTTGGGCGTGAAGCAGTCCACCAAGTTGGCCCAGATGGCCAAGATGTTTGCTGAGGCGGCGCCCCAGCCACAGGCAGCCAAGCTGTAAGAATCCCTTTCCCATGCCTTGACCCCACTCAGAATTTACAGCGCGTGTGAGTTTCGGAGCGGCAAGAGGCCGCGCATATGCGTTTCAAGTTTCGACCCTGCTTTTGACGAGTTACAGTCTTACAATGTTGCTTTGCAAATTCCTCATGAGAGGGAACCTTCCATCACGGTGTGCCATGGCAATAAGAAGCGCCAACGCAAAGCAATATTTTTTTCGTCCAGTTTTAGGGTTTGGGCTGGCAGCGACATGAATCATCGGGGTGTGGAAGGAGCCTCTCAAGCAGTTGATGCCTTGACTGCGGATGAAACCTCGGCGGGCGCCAAGAAAGCAGCACATGCTGCACATTGCCTCTGAGCGATTGGTTTGGTCACTGAAATTCACTTGCTTTCTCTTGGTTTCGGTTGCACTGGCTGGTCTTGATGCTCGCCTTGCAGCTTCTTCTGGTAGCATTCTGTTCAAGAGGGTCGTCACCGCTCACAGGAGGCGGATAGCCGGATAGCTGAGTAGCTGATCTGAGCCATGGTGAGCCCAGCGATGCTGAAGGGTATGAACACGGAGATTTACGGGGAAGGGCATCCTTTCGGAGACCCTTCCTGGTACCAGGCCTACAACACGCCCTACTACAACGACTCGCACAAGAAGTTCCGCAAGATCATGCGGGAGTACGTGGACGAGCACATCATGAGCAACGTGCACGACTGGGACGAAAAGGGCGTGATCCCCAAGGAGATGTACCTGGAGGCCGGCAAGCAGGGAACCCTGGGCCTGTGCATTGGCCGGCCCTGGCCTGAGAAGTATTTCGGCCCGTCCCCTTGGGGCTTTGAGCCGGACTACTTCCATGAGCTCATCATGTACGACGAGATGTCCCGCACGGGCTCCGTTGGCTTCCAGTGGGGCATCGCAGGCGGCACCCCTCGGACTGCCGCCGGTGTACCACCACGGCAGCGAAGAGTTGAAGCAGCGGGTGATGCCAGCCTGCGTCAAGGGAGAGAAGGTGTGCTGCCTGGCCATCACGGAGCCAACCGCAGGTAGCGACGTGGCCAACCTCAAGTGCACAGCCAAGCTGGAGGGTGATCACTACATCCTGAACGGCGAGAAGAAGTGGATTACGAACGGCATCTTCGCCGACTACTTCACCGTGGCATGCCGCACGGGCAAGCCAGGGGTGGGCGGCATCAGCTTGTTGCTGGTGGAGAAGGGCATGCCAGGACTGGAGACCCGCAAGATGAAGTGCTCAGGTGCGTGGTCGTCCGGCACCACGTACATCACCTTTGACGACGTGAAGGTGCCCAAGGGCAACCTGTTGGGCAAGGAGGGCAAGGGATTCCAGTACATGATGCAGAACTTCAACCACGAGCGCTTCGCTTTCTGCGCGTGAGTACTGCTCGCGGTGTGCTGGAGGAGTCGCTGAAGTTTGCCGGCAAGCCAAAGACGTTGGGAAGACGCTCGGTCTGCACCCCGTGATTCGCTCAAGGTGGCTGAGATGGCGCGCGTCAGGCGGGTGCGCTACTCACAACTGGCTGGAGTGGATCACCTACCAGCTGAACACCATGCCCAAGCTCGAGGCCATGCTGAAGCTGGGTGGGCACACGGCCCTGTGCAAGGTCCAGTGCACCAAGGCTGGGCCCCGATGGATTGAAACTGAGCGTTCTGGGGGGCCAGGGGAAAGGGCGATTGGTGGCTCCGTGTGGAGCTGTGCTGCGTGCTGGGGGTTGGGGTGCGGAGCGTGGAGGTGTGCGGGTGTGGGGTGGCTGGCGTTGCCTGGCTCGGGCAGGTCATGGAGTACTGCGCCCGCGAGGCCGCTCAGATCTTCGGCGGGCTGTCCTACTCCCGTGGCGGCCAGGGCGAGAAGGTGGAACGATTGAACCGAGAGGTCCGCGCCATGGCCATTCCAGGTGGTCAGGGCCTCAGCAGAAGTGGGCCGGCGGTTGGAAGCGTGCACTTTGTCTTTGTGTGACGCGTGGCTCAGCACCAGCGTCGCTGAGGCTCTGAGGAGATCATGCTGGACTTGGGCGTGAAGCAGTCCACCAAGTTGGCCCAGATGGCCAAGATGTTTGCTGAGGCGGCGCCCCAGCCACAGGCAGCCAAGCTGTAAGAATCCCTTTCCCATGCCTTGACCCCACTCAGAATTTACAGCGCGTGTGAGTTTCGGAGCGGCAAGAGGCCGCGCATATGCGTTTCAAGTTTCGACCCTGCTTTTGACGAGTTACAGTCTTACAATGTTGCTTTGCAAATTCCTCATGAGAGGGAACCTTCCATCACGGTGTGCCATGGCAATAAGAAGCGCCAACGCAAAGCAATATTTTTTTCGTCCAGTTTTAGGGTTTGGGCTGGCAGCGACATGAATCATCGGGGTGTGGAAGGAGCCTCTCAAGCAGTTGATGCCTTGACTGCGGATGAAACCTCGGCGGGCGCCAAGAAAGCAGCACATGCTGCACATTGCCTCTGAGCGATTGGTTTGGTCACTGAAATTCACTTGCTTTCTCTTGGTTTCGGTTGCACTGGCTGGTCTTGATGCTCGCCTTGCAGCTTCTTCTGGTAGCATTCTGTTCAAGAGGGTCGTCACCGCTCACAGGAGGCGGATAGCCGGATAGCTGAGTAGCTGATCTGAGCCATGGTGAGCCCAGCGATGCTGAAGGGTATGAACACGGAGATTTACGGGGAAGGGCATCCTTTCGGAGACCCTTCCTGGTACCAGGCCTACAACACGCCCTACTACAACGACTCGCACAAGAAGTTCCGCAAGATCATGCGGGAGTACGTGGACGAGCACATCATGAGCAACGTGCACGACTGGGACGAAAAGGGCGTGATCCCCAAGGAGATGTACCTGGAGGCCGGCAAGCAGGGAACCCTGGGCCTGTGCATTGGCCGGCCCTGGCCTGAGAAGTATTTCGGCCCGTCCCCTTGGGGCTTTGAGCCGGACTACTTCCATGAGCTCATCATGTACGACGAGATGTCCCGCACGGGCTCCGTTGGCTTCCAGTGGGGCATCGCAGGCGGCACCACCATCGGACTGCCGCGGTGTACCACCACGGCAGCGGGGATTGAACGCGGGTGATGTGTGCGTCAAGGGAGAGAAAGGTGTGCTGTGGCCATCACGGAGCCAACCGCAGGTGGCCGCGTGGCCAACCTCAAGTGCACAGCCAAGCTGGAGGGTGATCACTACATCCTGAGCGGCGAGAAGAAGTGGATTACGAACGGCATCTTCGCCGACTACTTCCGTGGCATGCCGCACGGGCAAGCCAGGGGTGGGGCGACTCAGCTTGTTGCTGGTGGAGAAGGGCATGCCAGGACTGGAGACCCGCAAGATGAAGTGCTCAGGTGCGTGGTCGTCCGGCACCACGTACATCACCTTTGACGACGTGAAGGTGCCCAAGGGCAACCTGTTGGGCAAGGAGGGCAAGGGATTCCAGTACATGATGCAGAACTTCAACCACGAGCGCTTCGCTTTCTGCGCTATGAGCACGCGTTTCGCGCGGGTGTGCTTGGAGGAGTCGCTGAAGTTTGCCGGCAAGCGCAAGACGTTTGGGAAGACGCTCATTCAGCACCCCGTGATTCGCTTCAAGGTGGCTGAGATGGCGCGCCAAGTGGAGGCCACTCACAACTGGCTGGAGTGGATCACCTACCAGCTGAACACCATGCCCAAGCTCGAGGCCATGCTGAAGCTGGGTGGGCACACGGCCCTGTGCAAGGTCCAGTGCACCAAGGCTGGGCCCCGATGGATTGAAACTGAGCGTTCTGGGGGGCCAGGGGAAAGGGCGATTGGTGGCTCCGTGTGGAGCTGTGCTGCGTGCTGGGGGTTGGGGTGCGGAGCGTGGAGGTGTGCGGGTGTGGGGTGGCTGGCGTTGCCTGGCTCGGGCAGGTCATGGAGTACTGCGCCCGCGAGGCCGCTCAGATCTTCGGCGGGCTGTCCTACTCCCGTGGCGGCCAGGGTGAGAAGGTGGAACGATTGAACCGAGAGGTCCGCGCCATGGCCATTCCAGGTGGTCAGGGCCTCAGCAGAAGTGGGCCGGCGGTTGGAAGCGTGCACTTTGTCTTTGTGTGACGCGTGGCTCAGCACCAGCGTCGCTGAGGCTCTGAGGAGATCATGCTGGACTTGGGCGTGAAGCAGTCCACCAAGTTGGCCCAGATGGCCAAGATGTTTGCTGAGGCGGCGCCCCAGCCACAGGCAGCCAAGCTGTAAGAATCCCTTTCCCTTGCCTTGACCCCACTCAGAATTTACAGCGCGTGTGAGTTTCGGAGCGGCAAGAGGCCGCGCATATGCGTTTCAAGTTTCGACCCTGCTTTTGATGAGTTACAGTCTTACTATGTTGCTTTGCAAATTCCTCATGAGAGGGAACCTTCCATCACGGTGTGCTATGGGAATGAGAAGAGTCATCGCAAAGCAAGCTTTTTCGTCCCAGTTATAGGGTTTTGGCTGGCAGCGACATGAATCACCGGGGTGTGGAAGGAGCCTCTCAAGCAGTTGATGCCTTGACTGCGGATGAAACCTCGGCGGGCGCCAAGAAAGCAGCACATGCTGCACATTGCCTCTGAGCGATTGGTTTGGTCACTGAAATTCACTTGCTTTCTCTTGGATTCGGTTGCACTGGCTTATCTTCATGCTCGCCTTGCAGCTTCTTCTGGTAGCATTCTGTTCAAGAGGGTCGTCACCGCTCACAGGAGGCGGATAGCCGGATAGCTGAGTAGCTGATCTGAGCCATGGTGAGCCCAGCGATGCTGAAGGGTATGAACACGGAGATTTACGGGGAAGGGCATCCTTTCGGAGACCCTTCCTGGTACCAGGCCTACAACACGCCCTACTACAACGACTCGCACAAGAAGTTCCGCAAGATCATGCGGGAGTACGTGGACGAGCACATCATGAGCAACGTGCACGACTGGGATGAGAAGGGCGTGATCCCCAAGGAGATGTACCTGGAGGCCGGCAAGCAGGGAACCCTGGGCCTGTGCATTGGCCGGCCATGGCCTGAGAAGTATTTCGGCCCGTCCCCTTGGGGCTTTGAGCCGGACTACTTCCATGAGCTCATCATGTACGACGAGATGTCCCGCACGGGCTCCGTTGGCTTCCAGTGGGGCATCGCAGGCGGCACCACCCTCGGACTGCCGCCGGTGTACCACCACGGCAGCGAAGAGTTGAAGCAGCGGGTGATGCCAGCCTGCGTCAAGGGAGAGAAGGTGTGCTGCCTGGCCATCACGGAGCCAACCGCAGGTAGCGACGTGGCCAACCTCAAGTGCACAGCCAAGCTGGAGGGTGATCACTACATCCTGAACGGCGAGAAGAAGTGGATTACGAACGGCATCTTCGCCGACTACTTCACCGTGGCATGCCGCACGGGCAAGCCAGGGGTGGGCGGCATCAGCTTGTTGCTGGTGGAGAAGGGCGTGCCGGGACTGGAGACCCGCAGATGAAGTGCTCAGGTGCGTGCTACCAGGGCACCAGGTACATCACCTTAGGCGGGAACCCATGGCCCAAGGGCAACCTGTTGGGCAAGGAGGGCAAGGGATTCCAGTACATGATGCAGAACTTCAACCACGAGCGCTTAGAGTCTGCGCCATGAGCACGCGTTTCGCGCGGGTGTGCTTGGAGGAGTCGCTGAAGTTTGCCGGCAAGCGCAAGACGTTTGGGAAGACGCTCATTCAGCACCCCGTGATTCGCTTCAAGGTGGCTGAGATGGCGCGCCAAGTGGAGGCCACTCACAACTGGCTGGAGTGGATCACCTACCAGCTGAACACCATGCCCAAGCTCGAGGCCATGCTGAAGCTGGGTGGGCACACGGCCCTGTGCAAGGTCCAGTGCACCAAGGCTGGGCCCCGATGGGTTGAAACTGAGCGTTCTGGGACATTGGCGTTGGGCAGGGGCCAGGGGAAAGGGCGATTGGTGGCTCCGTGTGGAGCTGTGCTGCGTGCTGGGGGTTGGGGTGCGGAGCGTGGAGGTGTGCGGGTGTGGGGTGGCTGGCGTTGCCTGGCTTGGGCAGGTCATGGAGTACTGCGCCCGCGAGGCCGCTCAGATCTTCGGCGGGCTGTCCTACTCCCGTGGCGGCCAGGGCGAGAAGGTGGAACGATTGAACCGAGAGGTCCGCGCCATGGCCATTCCAGGTGGTCAGGGCCTCAGCAGAAGCGTGCACTTTGTCTTTGTGTGACGCGTGGCTCAGCACCAGCGTCGCTGAGGCTCTGAGGAGATCATGCTGGACTTGGGCGTGAAGCAGTCCACCAAGTTGGCCCAGATGGCCAAGATGTTTGCTGAGGCGGCGCCCCAGCCACAGGCAGCCAAGCTGTAAGAATCCCTTTCCCTTGCCTTGACCCCACTCAGAATTTACAGCGCGTGTGAGTTTCGGAGCGGCAAGAGGCCGCGCATATGCGTTTCAAGTTTCGACCCTGCTTTTGACGAGTTACAGTCTTACAATGTTGCTTTGCAAATTCCTCATGAGAGGGAACCTTCCATCACGGTGTGCCATGGGAATGAGAAGAGTCATCGCAAAGCAAGCTTTTTCAGTCAATTATCACGATGACATTTAAGGCCCAGGTACACCAAGTTGCAAGACTGGACAACATGTCCGCATGTTGTCATTTGGCTCAAGGCTCAAGGAAAAGAGCGCGTTGCACGCGCTGCAGGGAGAGGTCGCAGTCACAGCGGGGTTCGATCCTTTTAAGGTCCCGGGTTCCCCCGTTGTTGAGAAAACTGTGTTTCCCTCTCCTTTGAGTGGTTATCAGCCGTAACGCTTTTCGGGTAAACAAACCCTTCCGTGACTGCGACCGTTTGGTCGCACATGGAAGTCGGCCCTCACCGCGGCGTTCGCGGTGGGAAAGGGCCGCGTGCCCGTCTGCTCAACACTTTCCAGCAGATCATCGTCGACGAATACAAAAAGCAGGATCGACGCTTCCGGTGGATCAGGTTTACAGAGGCTTCAAAGCAACAGATTGAGGCCCTCTTTTCCTGGCGTGAGACATTGGATAGTTGGCACTTGTGGAATTTCGACCAAGAGGCCTTTGAGATCATCCAGGCCGCGGACAACGCTTATCAGCGTCTTGCATCGGTTGAAACCGCGGGTGCGGTAGTGCCACAAGGAGTTCAGGCGCAGGATAGAGCCGCAGCCTCTGGCGCGGCGGGAGCAACAAGCAGTGCTGCGGATTGGTTACGACCACCTACGCCTCCGTCTGCTTCATCCTGGCTGCAGGACTCCCGCACTCCATTGCCTCGTCCCCGACCATCTGCAGAGGAAAGACAAGTGTTGCGAGGTGCCGCCAAGACAGCACTTCGTGGGGTGTACGCTAAAGCTGCGGAAACGCGGCAGGAGAGCAGCGAACGATCGCCACAAAGATCGAGGTCCCCATCGTCTCCGAGACAAGGACCGACTGCTGCTACCCCTGTGGAACCTCGGGCGCATAGTGTTGAACCCGCGCTTGCGCGGGAGGGCAGACCATCCCGGACTTCCCTTGCTACACGGCCCATTGTATTGGCTCCACAGAACAGTATATACCCTGTGACACGATTTGACGAGCACGGCACTTGGGTACTCGTTCGGGAGGCTGCGCAGCCGCGTGAGGCGACATCTCACCGACGAGCACAGCGGACATCCCGACATCTCCGTCAGTCTGACCCGTATTCGCTTGCGGACGAGACGTGGAGAGATCCCCCAAGAAGATCGTCCACAAGCTCGCGATCACGATCCCCAGATCGACGCCCAGGACCAGCGGAGCAACATCGCCTCGACGCCTATAGCTCAGAGGAGGAGCCTACGCAGGACGCGGAAGCCCTTACAACTGGCAGGGCGGCTTACGTGCCTCGGCGCGTATACGAGGCACCGACACACACTGAGCGTATTGCTTTGCATAGCAGGAGGATTGGAACAACACGCATTTCGCAATTTCCCCCATTTTGGGCCGAGCGGATTTGCCACAGCTCTTTAAAACTGTTAAAACCCTCTAGGCCCCGTGCCGAAATTGGGTAGCTGTTCTGAGGTCCTTGTTGGTGTTGCTTCCCAAGTTCCATTGATCGCCATTTGGCTCAAGACACAATTGAGGTTCAAGATCTGATGTGTGACTGCATACATACGTGATCGGCATTGAGAGCGAAAACACTTCGCTTGCGCTGCATTTGTCAGGACTACTGTTGTAACTATCATTCCTTCTCCCTTACAACGTTTACACGGGTTCGGCTATAACGGCATCGTCCGTATACACCTTTCTACGTGGTTGGTATTACAGCTTGAGGGTTCGGTGCATAGCGTCCCACGGGACGTCACCTTGCCGTCTCTTGACAGGTTATCAGCCGTAACTACAAGCTCTACACTGGACTGGGAGACAGCTGGTTTATTGCGGGTACAGGGACAATAAAGGAACGATAACCTACACAGTACAATGGCGTCTTCGGCGAGCCCAAGTACTGCAACTTTTGGGAACAGCAGCTCAGAGGGATCCAATGGATTGATGGCTCTTCCTGCGGTGATGGATATGGTTGCAGATTCACAGGATGAACCTGGGAGCGGAGGTTCCGCGCTATTCAGCGACATATCTACTCCCACAAGATCATGGAAGCAGATCGATGTTCATCAGGAGTCGAAGAAAAGAGAATCCCCACCGAGAAGATCATCATCTTCGCCTGCGACACCACGGACGTCGCAGAAGGGCGTGAGATCGACATCGAAGGGTGGGAGGTCAAAATCACCCACCAGTGCAGATTTTCGCGCCGTGATCAAAGAGAAGAATAAGATGGAGGTGGAGATCGGGGAATATCAGAAGACACTTGATGAAATGTCGGCAGCAATGGCGAATCTTAACCAAGAAGACTATGGAAGCACCATCCGGATCCAGGAGCTGGAAAGACGATGCGAGATTGCCAGCAAGCAGTCGGGACATCTAGTGAGTCACCACCAACACCACATGGCTGAGGCATGGCGCAAGTTTGAGGAAGAAGCCCAACAGATGCGCAAGGTGGAAATGAACGCATTTCAGTACGGGGAGAAGAAAGACATGGAGTCGAATATTATAATGCAACAGATGAGGCAAGCTGAAGGAACTATCATGGAGCAGAAGCGGGAGATTGCATTGATGAAATCCTACATGGCAAGCGAGAAGTCGGCCGCGCAGGAATCAGCTATACGTGCAAATCAGATACACCGTGAGGCTTCACAACAGATATCAGTTTATCAGCAACAGATCAGAGGCATAGAATCTTCTACATCTATCGAGAAGTTCAACGAGGAGGAGATGGTCCAAAGTCTGAAATCACAGTTGGAGCATGCACTCGTCAAGCGCCCCGAGACGTACTCTTTGGAGGACTCCAGGGAACAGCTGATGGCGAGGCTGAATGACGTTACAGTATTTGCGGAACAGGAATCGAAGAGAGCAGATTGCTTGCTTCGCGAAAAAGAAGAGATCGTCAAACAGTATGAGTCCGACGTGTCGATGAAGGACCAGATGATTGCTGTCGAAGGTGGTCATCGTCAGGATGCGATCTTGGAGTTAGCCCAGGTCAAAGAAGAGAAACAAGAGGAACGGTGCACGATGGACGAGAAGTCGAAGGAGGCTGAGTACTGGAGATTGACAGCTAAGGGAATGTACGATGAGTACCTCGAGGAGATGCATGAGCTTCAGAGACAACTGAAAGAAAGAGAGGCGACGCTCAAGCAAGAAGAGAGTTTTGTACGCCAACTCGATGCTGACAACGAGGAACTACGTGCACACAAGAAGCTGGAGACACAGGAAGCCTCCAGCAGCAAAGATGGACATCGTGAACGAGCAGTAGTGAAACGCGCTGAGGGAGGAACCCAGGCTAATTCAAATAGGATAGACAAGAAGGTGGCTGGGTCAGTCCCGTCATCGTCTTCAAATCAAATCCCTAATTCGTCGCTGATGCCAGGTTCGATCCTCTTTCCGTCTTTCGGTGATCCAATGATCGATGTACACCTATCCCAGATGCAAGGGGTTGTTGGGCATGTCCCACAATCCACTACTACGACTGGTGGTGGTGATGGGGGGGGGAAACAACGGTACTACGCCCCCATTGGATTACGGTGGATTCCCGCCCAATGGGAATGGGCAGGGAGCGGGTCGACGTCAGTTGAGCCTCGCTGGTGGCGGAGGAGGACCTCCGGATGATCCACCCGATGATGAGGATGAGGATGACGACGACGAAGGAGATGAGGAAGACGAGGAAGAAGAAGAGGAAGAAGACGATCGGACACGGAGGAGACGAAGGAGATCGAGAGATAACCGAGAGATCAAGAATGATCGACCGAGAATCTCGAGGAAAGAGGCCGAGAGAGTATCTATTCCGGCCTGGCCAAAGATCCATCAACTTGACACCTGGAAGATGCAACTGCTGATGAATGTTCTGAGCGCATGTGCAGATCCAGATACCGACGCATGGACGAAATGGCTGGAGCAGGCTCTTGGGTTGAACCCAGACCTGGATTTGCTTAGCGATTCAGGTGGCGACAGATTTGCTACGATAGATATTAAGATGGCCATGGGCATGCAGAACATGCTGAAACAAGCACCTGACGAAGCCAAGGACGTATACCTCGATGCTACACGACACTCTGAACTACGACATCAACAAGGGGTGATCGTGAAGGGACGAGAGTTGGTGGCATTAGTTATGCAATCATTCAGAACTTCCGATAGAACGGATCTTGTCTACCACATCGAGCATCTATTCAACCTTGATTTTCCTGGCGACAAGAACTTGGTCATGTTCAGGAACAAATGGTATGATTTGCTGCTGAAGATGAGGAGCGAGGACAGACCCAGTAAGCTGGCTCTCAGAGACATCCTGTACAGGAAGATCAAAGGGAGCAAGAAGATGGAGTTCGGCCTCAATGCCTACCATAGACTACCGGACAAGCATCCTCAGAAGACGTATGAATTCTTATTGGCGTTGATCGACTATCAGATCAAGGCAGATCGGGAAGACCTGATGCTCGACATGAAGGAGAAATCGGTCAAGTCGATGATGAAGTCAGGCGGGAAGGATGCGGCTCCAGCAACTGGCAAACAGGAGAACCAGGGTGGCAAGGGCAGAAAGGGGAAACCCGGTGGACCTGATGCCGCTCCTGTGCTCCCAAAAGCCAAGGCAAAGGGCCACGCTGGCAAGAACGGCAAGTCCGACGGTGCCAGCGACAGAGGCAAGAGTCCGGGCGGAAGCAAGGATAACCCCTGCTGGTACCACTTCAAATCGGCGAAGGGGTGCGTGAAAGGAAATGAATGCACTTTTTCCCACAGCAAGAAGACGGAGCATAAGTTGGAGAGCATGTCCAAGGGGAAAGGAAAGGGCAAA